TATAGTTATAGTTATTGTTTATACATTTATAACAAATAAATCATTGGTAATCATAGTCTAATATATGTAAAAAAAATAAAAATTGTATTTATACTTAATGTTACGGATATAGGTACTATATATTATTCTAATTCATACACTAAAATAAAATTATATTCTTTTCTAATATTATATCTTTTATATGTTTTTGTGAACAGATAATGGTTTTCAAAAGTCTGTCCTCCACCAGCTGCTTACCATGAAATTCGAAATACGTACAATTGATGAAAAACTAAATAATCTTACCCAACTTGTAGAAGAAAATAATAACAACTTGAAATCCAAGATTAATGAAACTGATATTTCTGATAATTATCAGTTTGATGACATAGACTTGCCGATAAACTCATTAGATATGTTGGACAATCTTGAAATAAAATTAATGAATGATAAAACTTATCGTGCTCATTTGGTATTCATCCTATTATTTATATTAAATTTTATATTGATTAGATATATTATAAACTTGTCTTTAATTTGTAGGTAAAACGACTTTCGGCAATCGGTGGAAAAACCATTAAGATTATGGTCAAACGAATTATGTCTATGTTGTTTATGCAAGAACTTCTTTGTGAATTTTCATACAACGGGCGTGGCAATAAAAAACATAGTTTTTCTAAATTAATGATCAATAAATTAATTTTTCGTAAGTACTCATATATATATATATTTATATTTTATATATAACTTTTATGTATAAAATGTTAAATTACTTGTTATGACCTAGAATTGTATGTATAATTGCACTATATTATATATATTAGTTTGATAGCTGATAAGTGATATTTTTTTTTTACATTCAACAATACCAGCTGAGTTCTGTTCTCTATTTAATTGTTTTAAATAGACTTTAAACATCATCAGTGACAACATTTAAATGCCTAAACCTTATACCTATTTTATCTTACAAATATTGTCTATCATAAGTGTTACATTTTGTATTAAAAAAAGAGATATAATAAACATGAGTCATTCCTTTATCAACAAAATATATTTTACAAAAAAGGACTGAATAGTGTTCTTAATATAATTAATAATAGAATATAAACTTCAGTTATCATTATAACATTATTTAACTTAATTTTAAAAAACCTATATATGTGTAGTATAATGATTTTGCTATATTATTTGTAAACTACTGACAACAAGCTAAGATTAATAAATGTAAGATGATTTTCATATAGTTTTAACTATATTTTGAATATTAGTTTCTGTTAGTTAGGTAAAAAAAAATAAAATTATTGTTTCATATTTAACTCATACTATTATTGTTTTTGTAATAATTTATTTGTTGTTAAATATTGGATTTTTCTTTTTTAGAGTCTGTTCAACAAATCAAGAAGTTTTCTATGATAGAAACTTGTACTAATGACATAGAAGAAGTTATTAAGTATGTGCTGATTCAATCCCCATTTAAATTAAAAAAAAAACAGGATTCTGTAGTGGTTACTACTATGGCAAATTAACCATTAATTTTTTTTTGTATCTATGCAACGCTTTTTCCATGGATGTGTGGCAATGAGTGTTATTTTTATTTATCTCAAATGAACCCGGAAAGCCACCGTATTAATTTTTTTTTTTTCGATGAATTCTTATTTTACTTAATTTTTTATTATATTTAAATTTAATGGCCATTTATTGCAGTTGTCAAGGCAGATAAATATTATGTTTTAAAAATTAAGAATAATTATTATATTATTATTATTAAAAATAAAAATGTTTTTATAATTACAAACTATTTATCTCAAATGAACCCGGAAAGCCACCGGATTATTTTTTTTTTTTTCGATCAATTCTTATTTTACTTAATTTTTTATTATATTTAAATCTAATAGCCATTTACTGCAGTTGTCAAGGCAGATAAATATTATGTTTTAAAAATTAAGAATAAATATTATTATAGTATTATTATTAAAAATAAAAATGTTTTTATAATTACAAACTATTTATCTCAAATGAACCCGGAAAGCCACCGGATTAATTTTTTTTTTTTCGATGAATTCTTATTTTACTTAATTTTTATTATATTTAAATCTAATGGCCATGTATTGCAGTTGTCAAGGCAAATAATTATTAAGTTTTTAAAATTAGAATAAATATTATTATATTATTATTATTAAAACTAAAAATGTTTTTATAATTACAAACAATTGCATATTAAATTGTAAAATATGTATACATGTATAGTTTATATAACAAATACTATTACAATAAAAAAAACATACATTCAATATTGTTATGATTTTTTATCGAATACAAATACAGATTTGAGTATATATATTGTGTGCCCATAATATTATATTGTATGTTATTATTTTATTTATTCTATGAATTATGACCTTAATATACCAAAATGCTAAGGAATTATAATACATCATAATCATATTTAGTAACTAATTAAACACTGGTAATGAAGGTTAAATAATATGCATAAATTATGGTTTATTTGGATTTATTAAATCTTAAATAAATATTATTAAATACTAAAACCAAGGTTTGATTGAGCTTAATTCAACAACATTGGTTGTGTGTTTAGAAAAGAGTGTTAATTCAACCTAGAGTTTTTGTCCAATCAATATTAATGCAAGTTTATTTTAATGTTAAAATGAACGTTTCTTAATCAAAACTCAACGTTTATTTAATGATTAATATTATAATTACTACATTAAATTAACATTTATTTAAAGTTAGTATGCTATGTGGGTAGTAGTATTTTGGAACGGATCATCAGATATCACAATAATTAAGCGTTTAAGGTTAACAGGAATTTTAGAATATTTAAACATATCTGCAATTAGTATTAGGAATAACGATGATTTTATATTAGAATTAACAAACCTAGAAACTAAGCAAGTATTATATTCAGGCTATTTATCTAATAAAAATGGTAGAATGCTAGGATTGTCAGAAGCTCGTGAACTAGCATGCGGTATTAATCATAATATTACACATTGTCATGACCCGATAGCTGACGTAATTTTAACAAAATGCCTATTTAATTATATAGTAACGGAAATAAAGCCCATTAAATTATATAAATTAGCAAAAAAATATAAAAGGAATTTTAAGGCAAAATAAATAAATTATTATAATTAATAAATAAATCTAACACAAAATAAATTGAACAATGAAAACAAATAAATAAATTAACATTTATTATATATCCAATTACATAATGAATTACCTTAAGTAGTTCTATAGTTGCATATGTTTATGGCAAATTTAACGATTATTCACATAGATTAGATATAGGTGGAAGATGATAATTATTATTATATAAAGGGGAAAATACTTAAAATTTATACTTAGGTACATAACGCTTATAATGTTATAATTTCAGGTACACATATTATTTTATTAAAGATTATTAATCCTTCTTATTAACACTAGTTATTTAATTAAATCATGTATTTATGTTCATGTTTTTATATTACTAACCACAATATACAAATTGTAATAAGAATAATAAAACAATAATAATAATAATGATGACCGCTTAGCCCTAACCGCTTAGCCACCAACCATTACACACAACTTACACGGAGATTATCATTCTAGAACGAGCTACAATTCACTCAACTACACAATCAACACGACTGTTCTTCTTATTTTGTCTGGTTTAATATAAAACATTTGATTACTATACTAATTTGACTATTATTATTTATCAAAGTACATCAGCTTTTGGATCCCTGAAGGGCCGCATGTAACAACCCGTGTTCAATTTCAAATAATTTCAGGTGGTGCAAGGTTCTATACGGTATAATACAGTAGAGTGGCGTAAAATACATTTTATAGTAGGCAAGCATTGGTTTATAACCTTTATACCTGTTATGATGTCAGAAAATGACCAGAGTAAAGAGAATTACTACTTATATAAATGTTATGAAGATTGGATCAGTTTTAATACACTTTTTGGAAAATTCTTGAAGAACAGTATAAAACAGAGTGATCCCTCGATACTCAACCATTATCCTGACTCATGATCTGCTCAAAATAAAAGTAAATGTATAATGGGTTCATAACTACATTAGATGAATTGCAAAGATACAATAATTCAATAAAATTAAACAAATTTTTATTTGTTATATTTGGGCAAAACATTATGTGTATGTTTCTTGTGCCTATTCACATTGCCTTTTGTGGAATAAGTTTTGTGACACATGTCACATTTGTATCTGATTTCACAGTGTGCCCACTGTTATGTCTTACTTGGGTTTGTTCCTTCGTAGACAATTTTGAGTTGTTATCCTCTGTTAAAGAATGAGTTCGCTCTCTCGAAAGTACTACAGTACGCTATTGAAACTTATAATTACAGGAATTGAATTTTTACGCAATGAATTAAAATGATATTTATACTTTTATTTTTTAGATAAAACGTACACACAGTAATCGAGTCTAAGACTATTTCACGACAGACTTATGTACTATGCATTATTCGATGGCGACGGACGTCGTCTTACAAAAGTGCTTACCCATCTAAATTCTACGTTACCTATATTATATTACTATAAGAACAAGGGGTTCCTAATACCACCAATGAATTTTAAAATATGATTTTTTTTTTTTTTTTTTTTTTTTTTTTAAAAGCTTTTAGTCTTTCCTTACATTTATCAATGACGCAAATGTAAGGCCTTATGTTTGAATGCCAAGTGCCAACACATGTTGTAACACTTGAGATTTGATAAGTCCCTGTGTCCTGTCTTGGAAATATCACACTGGAAAGGTTTTTCACCAGCATGAATCAATTTGTTCCTTTTCAGATGGTGCAATAGTTTAAACTTTTTTTTTGATAACTACCAAATGCCTCGTCATCTAAGTAGTGACGCGCATGAATGGATTAACGAGATTATCACTGTTCCTATCTATCTGCGTTGTTTTGCTGGCGACATCAACGCCAATACGTGGGGAAAAGCATTCAGCTGGGCCAAAAACTGCTCTAGGTCAAAAAAGATCCCCTCCACCATGGTTCGCCCAGATGGAGCGATGACGGAAACGATCGACGAGACAGCGGAGGTGCTCTTAGGGTCTTTCTTCCCAAGAGAGAGGCATAAAAGAGACCTCACAAAGAGCGGGCCCCTAGAGTCATACGATGGCGAGATAAACGCCGAAAGAGTCAGGGCGGCGATATGGCGGATGAGTCCTGGAAAGGCACCCTGAGCCGACGGCGTCACGGCCGGGATGCTGAGAAAAACATGGCCAGTCTTAGGTGATGAGATAGTACACCTCTTCAGGTCATGCATCATAGAGGCCACCTTCCCTCAGAGTTGGAAGTGCGCCAAATTAGTTGTACTAAAAAAGCAGGGAAAAAAGGATACCACTAATCCAAAATCATATAGACCAATCAGCCTGCTGCCTTCAATGGCGAAAGCGCTCGAGACGTTAATCATCCAAGATCTCGAAAATGAAACGGACCTAAACAGTTATAACCAGCAACATGGATTCGTGCCCGGTAGTTCGACCATCACGGCCATAAAGTCCTTATACGACTGGGTTAAAGGCAGTAACGGCAGGCATGTGTTCGGGGTGTTTCTGGACATCACCGGGGCCTTCGACAACGTCGGCTGGTGCCCGCTGTTGTCCAGACTCGATGCACTTGGCGCCTCACTAAGGACAACTAGACTGATCCAGAACTACCTGGGAAACAGATCAGCTAGCCTCGAGATCGAGGGAAAACGTTATACAAGAACTATTGAGCGCGGCTGCCCGCAGGGGTCTCAGCTGGGCCCAACGTTGTGGAAAGTTGCTATGACAGACATAAGTAATATACGATTGGAAGGCACAGCCAACATAGTGCTGTATGCAGATGATATTGCCCTTACGGTGGCAGCGGCGAGACCCCACACAGCACATAGCCGAATCGAAAAATACCTTGACAGCCTTAAAGCGTGGGCAAAGGCGTATGAGTTGGAGTTTTCACCGGCCAAGAGTCAAATAATCAGCCTAAAGGGAGGACTGAAGCCAGGCTATACAGTCGGTTTTGGATCGGGCGAAAATGACCCAAGGATCGTGGCCGAAGCGACGGCAAAGTATCTGGGTGTCATTTTGGATCCCAGGGAAAGCTACTGGGACCATGTATCGTCCCTTAAAAATAAGTCAGAAGACATGTACAAAAGACTCAGACGAATGACGTCAGCAAATTGGGGCATGGGCCGAGCGACTGCAAAGGTTATTTACGAAGCCGTCTTCCTCCCGCGTATTACGTACGCGGCTGAAATTTGGGCCGAGGGTGGATGCACCCTGAAGAAAGGAATCAAAGTCCTGGGTAGCATGCAAAGGGAGCCGCTCAAAGCAATAACGAGCAGTTATAACACCGCGTCAACCAACTGCCTTTCGGCAGTGGCAGGAGTTCTCCCGCTAGACCTCGAGGTCAGGAGGGTAGCGCAGAAATGCAAGATGCGAGCCGGAGAAATAACAAACGAACAATATGAACAAGGGCTCAGGTCGCTCACAGAGGAGTGGCAAGCCAGATATGAAGCCGTGGACAAGGGTGAATGGACCAAGTTCATGATCCCGGACGTGGCAGCACGGTGTGGACTGCCACTGGAGTTAGACCACTACACAACCCAGTTTTTGACCGGACATGGAGACTTCCGCAGCAAGCTCTACAGTTTTAAGCTCCAGAACAATCCCAACTGTGCCTGTGGAAACGGGGCAGAGACAGTAAGGCATGTGCTCATGACATGTACAAGGACACAAAGGTTCCGCGAAGAGCTCATGACAACTTTGAGAAGTGAAGGGGTGGACTGGCCCCCGGAAAAAGGCGCCTTCCTCAGTACCAGGAAAACGTTTAAGGCACTCAAAAAGTTTAGCAAAAACAGTCTGCAGAATAGAACGGATAGGTAGGACCTATAGAGGTCAGGACGCAGCCACACCAGGCGGTGTAGTGCATAGTCTCGGGGTGTCCCGAATGAGCACGCATGGTGTAAGCGGCACAAGCGGCGGGGCACGCTCGAGCGCGTCCTGACCAGGGGCGTGCTCATGCGCCTGGGGCGAGGAGTTCGGCCCTGTTGCTGGGGCCGTCCAGAATTCAGCACCAGTATTCCCTGCTTGTCGTAAGAGGCGACTGAAAGGGAAATGGCCAGTCGGGGCCGGCGTCCGGGACGCGGACACACCGAAACCTCCGGGGACTAGGGTGTTGGAGGTTTTGACTGCGACCTCGTGAAGAGCGAGTCGATCACCTCGGTGATGCCTCTGGGAGGCGTGGCAAAGGCTACCGAGCCTTGAACTTGGGGGTCGCGGCCACCGCGCCAGGGCGACCGCCGCTGGTAAGGGCCCACCGTGAGCCCGTGATACACGATCCTAATCTTGGTAGGACCACAGCTGAGACTCCGGTCGACGAAGCTCGGCCCGAACATCCAACCACTGATGTGCTTTCCTAACGGGAGCGAGAATGGTACTTCGGGATGTGGGGGGGCCCCGCGGCGTCGAGTTGATTGACGACGTGCCCTCACACGGCGGTCGCGCCCAGCCTCGGTTGCGGCGCGGTCGACGGCGGTTTGGTTTCGGAGTGGCTGTTAGCAGGAGCTAACCCTATGGTTAAAAGACCAAATGCTCGGTCTAGGGGAAGGTTGCCGAGTGAGAAACTCCTTAGCGCTCACCCAGCCTACCGGTGGGGCTATATGCACCGGAGGTTGCCCGTAACCAAAAACGGGAAGCAATGAGGATAGCTTGCGACCCGACCTGGGTGGCGAAGGGTACGTGCATGCCTCAGCCAACGGTACGGGCGCACTCTCTCCCGACTTCGTTGGGAACGGGTGTGCGCACGGTGCTCGTGGTCCATAGACGACGCGCGGGCGGTGGTTGGTGGCAACGCCACCGTACGCCGACCGTGAACCTCCGCGGCTCTCGACTAGCGCACAGCGCTAATGTGAGGTCCGCGGTTGTAGCCGCAAGGCATCAAACCCGGGAGTCTTCGTGTTCCTATCTATCTGTCCCCGAGATAGGCCCACAGTCAATTGGGTTATTGAAACTCGCCCGGAGACCTTCTGTAAACTCGAGGGAAAAACAGTGTATTTGGGACTAACAAAGTGCAGAATGAAACCCCATAACGACCTCCCTCAGTGCTACAACTGCCAAAGATATGGCCATACGGCCAAGACCTGCCGTTTAGAGGACCCAATCTGCAAACACTGCGCAGGAAAGCACGACTCCCGAAATTGTGACTCGGATTTGATGAAATGTTCTAACTGTAAAAGCAAAAATCATAAAGCTTCCTCGGCTAACTGCCCGGCCAAAACTAAGGCTATGAGAAATCTCCTCCGGCGAACGGACTTCGCAGTTACTGGCCAAGAATGAGTACTCACATTAAAATATACCAGCACAACGTGAACCGCGACCGCATTGCGAGTCATCAACTTCGCGAAGCCTGCAAAGTGAATAAAATTGATTACTTACTGATCCAAGAGCCACTAGTTATCAGCGGGAAGGTCTACGCCTTTGAGAGCTGCAGATCGCATATCAGTAAAAGCAATGGCGCCGCAATAATCGCATTCACCAACAGATACCAAGCGCTTAAACTAAGCAACTTCTCGTCAAGTCATATTGTCGCCATCAAAGTCGCCTATGGTAGCGGCAATTACGAACACGTCGTGCTAGCTTCGGCCTACTTTAAGTACAGCCTACCGACAACTGCTCACGTTGAGCAACTTGAACACATTATCGCAAAGGAAAAAAGGACTGTGATCTGTGCCGATACTAACGGTCATTCAGATCTATGGCTCTCGAACAAACGAAACCGCCGAGGAAAGATTGTAGAACAATTCATACGAAAACACGGCCTTATCGTTCACAACTGTCCCGGTACGATAAACACCTTTTGTCGCCGTGATGGACGAACATCTAATATAGATGTCACGATGTCTACAGCCAACACGGCCAGTCTCGTCAAAGATTGGACAGTCATAGACCTGACTGATAGTGACCACCGTGTCATTAGCTTCAAACTGGCAGTGAAAAAGCCGGTAGAGCGAGTCCCAGCTGAGATTAGGTATGACGTCAGATCTGCCGACTGGGATCTCTTCAAGACCTCTCTACTAGGTGAAATCGGTCGCATACCAGACAGCAGTATCAGCATAACCACAACGGCTGATGGCATCATACGTGCAATAACCATGGCGGCTGATAGGTCAATTCCTAAAAAGAGACAAACCGCAATAACGGGCAGAAGTCCATAGTGGTCTCCAGTCCTGTCCACTCTTAGACAGAACCTTGTCCGACAGAGGCGACGCGGCCTAATGAGCACCGATAGGCCAGCTTATAACAAATTGAAAAATGAATTCCTGATAGAGACCAGGAATCACAAAAGGGCCGCATGGAAGTGCTTTGCGGGAGACCTCAATGAGAACCCGTGGGGCAAAGCTTTCTCATGGGCAAAACAAGGTAACTCATGCAATTCTATGCCCAGCTCCCTTTCTGATGCGGATGGTTCTCAAACCACAAACTGCCGCGAAACAGCTGACTTGGTGTTCAGCACATTTGTTCCTCCGGACCCGCATGGGAAAATACCCGAATCTCATGGTCTGATTCAGCATAAGGACGAACTCAGCCCGGACATTATAAAAAATGCCATTTGGAAGATGAGGACGAATAGCGCTCCCGGGTCTGATGGCATCACAGCAGGCATTCTCAGGAAAGCGTGGATGCCACTTAGGGACATCATCACGAACCTCTTTCAGAACTGCCTTCAGAACGGGACCTTCCCGGAGTGCTGGAAGGCAGCGAGACTAATAATAATACCAAAACCCGGTAAGGAAAACTTGGGCGAGGTGAAGTCCTACCGTCCTATTAGTCTCCTGCCTGTCCTGGGGAAAGCACTCGAGTCTGTTATAATAAGCGAACTGTCGCGCGAGACACGCCTCGACTCTTACAGCGAGCAGCACGGATTCACGATGGGCAGATCCACCATCAGTGCGATCGAAAACGTTTACAGCTGGGTCGATGCGTCCAGCGCAAGACACATATTTGGCGTCTTTTTAGACATAACTGGCGCATTCGACAACGTACAATGGTCGCCACTCCTAAGACAACTCGATCACCTTGGTGCATCTGTTGGGACGCAGAGAATAGTAAGCTCTTACCTGAAAAACAGATCCGCTGAGTTCGTTCTAGAGGGCAGGAGATACAGCAGGACGCTCGAACGGGGTTGCCCTCAGGGTTCTCAACTCGGGCCGACGCTATGGAAGGTCGCTATGACCCCGATCTTCGAGTTGATTAAGGAATCTTGAACGGTAAAAGTCATTACCTACGCGGATGATATCCTTTTAATGGTTGGTGCAGCCAGACCTCAGACGGCTTTCCGCCGAATGGAAAGGGAACTCGAAACCCTAAAAACATGGGCTTCAAATTTCAAGCTCGAGTTCTCTGCTGCCAAAAGCCAACTCCTGTCCCTGAAAGGCGGCCTGAAGCCCCGGTACAGTGTCGGGTTCGGAATTGGAGCGGATGCGCCCAGGATTTCGTCGACGGCCACAGCGAAGTACCTTGGAGTACTCCTTGACCCAAGACGGAGTTACTGGGATCACGTCGTCTCCTGTGCCAGAAATCAAAACCCATGTATAATCGGCTTAGGACACTCTACTCTGCGAACTGGGGAATGGGCAGAATGGCTGCCAGGACGATATACAGAGGCGTCTTCCTGCCAAGGATCACATACGCGGCCGAGATCTGGTCCGATGGCACGAAACTAGTAAAGAGCCAGAAAAAGTTACTCTCCGCGCAAAGGGCCCCACTGCTGGCTATCACGAGCGCATATAAAACGTCATCCACGAATTGCCTGGCCGCAGTGGTGGGAACACTACCCCTTAATCTGGAGATACGATTTCAGGCCCTGAAACGAGCCAACTCCAGACATAAAATAACTGCGGAAGTCTTCGCAGACAGAACAAATGACTTAATGAATGAATGGCAGACCAGATACGCGTCTACTGAGAAGGGCAGTTGGACTCAGAAGATGATTCCATCGGTAAAGTTCAGGTGCAACATACCGATGGATCTGGACCACTGGACCACCCAGTTCTTAACCGGCCACGGGGACTTTAGAGCCAAGCTCCACAGCTTTACGCTGGCTCCGGACCCCATATGCGAATGCGACCGGATGCCGGAAACCGCAAAGCACGTTTTGATGTACTGTCCTAGAACCTTGGACGCCCGGAAGAAACTAAGACGGGTTCTGAGACAAGAGGGTGTCAGATGGCCACCAGAGGATGGCGCATTCCTCACGAGCAAGAAAACGTATGAGGCACTTGCAACTTTTGCAAGAGAGGCCTTAACAAACAGATCGGACCGATGAGAATTGAGGACAAATGGCCTTAGGGGCCAGAACGCCGCCCCGTCAAGGACGGAAGGCAAAGTCTCGGGGTGTTCCCGATGAGCACGTATGGCGTAAGTGGCAGAAACGGGGGAACACGCTCGAGCGCGTTCTGGCCCGGGACGTGCTCATACGTCTGGGACGCGGAGTCCGGCCCTGTTGCGAGGGCCGTACAGAATTTCGCATCAGTATTCCCTGCTTGTCGTACAAGGCGACTAAAAGGGAAATGACCAGTCGGGGTCGGCGCCCGGGGCGCGGACGCACCGAAACCTACGGGGATTAGGGCGTTGAGAGGTTCTGACCGCGACCTCATGAAGAGCGGGTCGGTCACTGGGCTTAGCCACCTGGTGACGCCTCGGTGGCGGTGGTCGAGGTTCTGACCGCGACCTCTCGAAGAGCGGGTCGGTCACTGGGCTTAGCCACCTGGTGACGCCTCCGGGAGGCGGAGCTTAGGGCCCACCGTGAGCCCGTGGTACACGGCCCAAATCTCGGGAGGACCATAAGCTGAGGCAACTCGCCGACGAAGCTTCGTCCGCGCATCCCACCATTGATGTGCCTTACCTGACGGGAGGCGAGAATGGTGCTTCGGGATGTGAGGGGGCCCCTCGGTGTTGAGAGATTAACAACGAGCCCTCACACGTCGGTCGTGGTGGACACTGCCTCGACCGACGGCGGTTTGGTTTCGAAGTGGCAGTTTGCAGGAGCATACTATGTGGTAAAAGACCACACGCTTGGCCAGGGGAAGGCGGCCGAGTGACTGGACCGGGCGGACTCGTACGGCGACAGTCGGCCGGGAAAGCACGGCCCTCCTTAGCGCTCACCCAGCTTATCGTTGGAGCTATATGCAGCGAAGGTTGTCCGTGACCAAAAACGGAAAGCAAAGTGGATAGATTGCGGCCTCACCAGGGTGGCGAAAGGCACCTGTATGCCCTAGCCTGATGGTACGGGCGCTCCGGGGTACCCCTCCGTGCGCGCCCGGTGCTCGTGGTCCTTAGACGACGTGCGGTCGTCAGTCTCCGGCGATCCTCTGGCCATGCAACAGTGTGGGGAGGGTCCGTCGGTTGGCGGTCGTATGACTCTACGGCCCTTGACTAGCACTTAGTGCTAATATAAGGTCCGTAGTTGTAGTCGGAAGACTGGCCGCAAGGCCTGTCGGATGACGTCAAACCCGGGAGCTTCGTGTTCCTATCTATCTATTCTCAGTGCGGCGGTCGGACAGTAAAAGTGTGCTCCGTGTTCAAGCGAACTTTTGAATAGGTCAGGGTAGTGCGTTTTTTGCGTATTATATACCAAAAGTTTCGTCTTGAACAGGCGCATCTAACGGTGTATCGCGCGCGAAAATTGGTTAGGGAACGAAGCGTTTAGGGCGTTATTAGCGATCGCGGGCGTAAATCCTTTGTTTACGGCCGGTCGCGAAAACCCTTTTTCGTTTTTCTCAGGCCACAGTGCGAATTTCGCGTCGGACCAAAGACCCTCGCTACAGTGCCATCGAGGCGCTAATTTAGAGGTAGGTCGCGTGAACTTTCAGCAAGTTGCGGCAAAGTTGGGCTAAAAAAGTTCAAAGGCTGACACAGGGACCTAGAACAGCGGTACGGAGTCGTGACCTGGACGGTCGGATAGTCTTCTTCAAGATAAATCGACCAGTCCAATCAGCGGATCTGTGCGACATAATCGGCGTCTAAAGTTAGGTAAGGCGCTTTTAAGCGCGTGGGATCGTGCGCGTGCGGGAGAGTACGCGTGAGTCAGGTGGTGTACGTGCGGTGCGTCGTGTTTTGGATCGTGCGAGTGCGGGCTCCGTGCGGATCGTGCGGGTGCGCAAGCCGGTCACCCCCTCCGGTTCGCCGGACCGGTATCCGTGTGCGAGCGCGCGGTGCGTGCGCGTACGCGAGTGGCGCGCTAATACAAAACCGCGAACAGATCGGTGTCGATTTTGAGTCGATCTGTATAAGCCTTAGGGCGAAGAATTGCGGCGCTGTCGGCCCTCAGGTAAGGTGCCAGGCTTAATTAATTAAGTTAGCAGAGCTACATCGGCGTCAGTACGTTATTCGGAAAAGTCGTTGGGCTTGAGTAGGTAGGCTCGATAGTTTTAGGTTGACTCGTTCCAAGGACATGGTTATGTCCGACATGGATCTCGACAACTCATTCTCGGATGGGGGTGAACTCGAGGAGACACAGGAAACGTTAGGTGGGGGTGCCGGCGGTTCGGGGCGTCCTTCAGAGGACACCGAACCTCGGGTAAAAGCAAAACGGAGGAAGGTTGTCGACTCCGACGAGGAAGACGTTTCTGAACGTACCGAAGTCGGGGTGTCATCTTTCCCAGAAAAGGCTAGGTTGATCGGTAGGGAGATGGACGCTGCCCTTCTCAAGGAGAAGGACAAGAGGAAGATATCGGCAGCCTTTCACAGGCAGATCTTGGAATTTCGAGGGAGGTATGAGGTTTTGCTGGACGAGGCCCTCCGGCAGAACACGGTTCTGTTGGGGAGGGTTGAGGAGGCAAGACGCTTACATTCGTGCGTAGGCTTGGTTAGGGAAGTCGTAGAGGAGGACGCCACGGTCACCGGGAAACCCTCAAAGGCCAAGGTCCCGGCAAAGAAGACGGTCTCAGCAAGGGAGTCGGCCCCCGTGGCTCAAGCAGCCAAGGAGAACGACTTCATTGTGGTGGTCGGAAAAAAGAACAAGAGGAAGAAGAAGAAGAAGAAGAAGAGCAAGCAACCAGCGCCAGAAAAGGCCACGAAGACCCCGGGGGTGGTCGCCACCGCGAACAAAAAGGCTAAGGCCGTCGAGAGGGAGAAGGCCAGGGGCTCCGGCTCGCGCTTTCGTCGTCTCGGCGGGCGACGCTGGTGCCGAGGCCGCCAAGAGGCAACTCTGGGCGGACTTGGTAAAGGGCGTGGCGGCGCCCAAACTCGGGAACTTCGCCAGGCTCCCCAGAGGCGACCTGGTGGTCAAACCGGCTGACGAGGCGACGTACAACGCGCTCAAGTAGATGGAGGCCAGTGGCAAGAAGGTCACAGAAGAAAAGGCAAGGTGGCCGACTGTCCTCATCTACGACGTGGATAGGGACTTCGGTGGTGAGGTACTCCCAGTTCAGATCGTCGAGCAGAACTCGGGTTTAGGTTTGGTTAAGGAGGACGTGGTCCCCCTCTTCAAGAAGGGGCCCAAGACGGGCGACTTGGTGTGGTGGGTCTGCTCGGTCAGGCCTAGCGCATTCAAGTCCATCGTAGGGAAGAGCCTTTTCATCGGGCTCTCGAAGTGTAGGACTGTCGAATATGTTGACGTAAATAGGTGCTTCAAATGCCAGGGCTTCGGCCACATGGCAAATCGCTGCAAAGCGACGGAGGACACTTGCGGGCGTTGCGCAGCCAAGGGCCATCGGGCAAAAGACTGCAAGAGCGTGCCGGTCAAGTGCGCCAACTGCGGTCAGGCTGCCCAGTCGGGCCATAAGGAATGTTCAGCTCTGCACAAGGCGACCATAAGGGTCGCCCGTAGGACAGATTTTGGCTCTAAATGATGAACTCGTCGACTTACTGTGTAGCCCAGTTGAACATGAATGGGAACCACCTCGTTCCTGATCAGATACTGGACTGCAGCAGGGCTAACGGGGTTGAGGTGCTTCTGCTTCAGGCGGTACCGACCTCGGGTAACAGACTTGTAGGATTCGACTACAGTGCCGTCCGGACGGTTCTCAGCTGTAAGGAAGGTAGTGCAAGGGCAGCCATAGTTGTTCTTAATCAGGACATCGAGGTGGTCGCCTTGCAGGGGCTCAGCGATAGACACTTCGCCGTGGCTAGCCTTAGGAAAAGGCATGGTCAGGCGGTCGTTTTCGTGTCGGCTTACTTCAAGTACAGCATCCAGACACACATCTTTACGGCTAGGTTAGGTTTAATCTTGGATAGTATCGACCAGGATGTCGTGATAGGTGCTGACGTGAACGCGCACTCGCCGCAATGGTTCAGTCGGCCGGGCAACAACACGGGTTCAGCCCGTGGGACCCACGTCGAATCCCTGATTGCGGAGAAACACTTGACGGTGCACAACCAGCCAGGCCGCCTCGTCACGTACGAGAGGCACGGTATGGGGTCATCGAACATAGATGTGACTCTGACGAGAGGGGGTTCCTTGGTGAACTCCGTTTCTGAGTGGGACGTGCTCGATATCACCGATAGCGACCACAGGACCATCAGATTCAAGATCCGAATCGGATCAGGGCCAGAAGGGCCCGCAATAGGGAAACGTCGCTTCAATACTAGGAAAGCCGATTGGGATAGGTTTAGGTGGGTTCTGGCCCAGAAGGTTCTCGGTGACCCTGAGACCATGGTGGGCGGGTGCGATGTCGTCGCTGGTGCTCTAACGCGCGCCCTCGGGCAAGCGATGGAGGCCTCGATGCCACGCTCACGCAAGTCCGCTAGGATAAAACCGCCGTGGTGGGACGCTGGACTCGAAGAGTCCAAGAGGCGTCTCAATAACTTCAGGCGCACCAGGGACTACAAAGTCGCGGATAGGGATCAATTCAGAGTGCTCAGGAACGAGCATCAGAAAAAGATTAGGAGGGCCAAGATGGAGTCGTGGAGGAAGTTCGCTACCTCCATTAACTCGGACATCTGGGGCCCTGTCTATCGTTGGGCTAGGAATGGTTCTTCTAAGAGTAGGATTCCAAGCTCCGTGCTCCGGGAAGATGGAACCTTCACGGTGACGGCTTTGGAGACGGCTGAGTGTCTGTTGGAGAGTCTCATCCCCAGGGACGTGACTGCTCCCATCTTCGAACATGACATTGTTGAGAGAGAGAGGCCGGAGGTCACGGAGGCGGAGGTTAAGAGGGCCGTCTGGAGGATGGCCCCTAACAAAGCTCCGGGATTGGACGGTATCACCGCCGGGGTTCTCAGGAAGGCCTGGGGCGTAATAGGCACGCCGCTAACCAGTGTCCTGAGAGAGTGCCTTAGGAGGTCGGTCTTTCCGGATTGCTGGAAGACTGCTGAGGTCGTGGTCATCAGCAAAGGTCAGGATAGGGACCCGAGCCTTCCTAAGTCATACAGACCAGTCAGCTTGCTTTCGGCACCGTCAAAAGTGCTGGAACGGCTGGTGGTGGACAGACTTGAGGAAGAGACGGGGGGAGCTCTGTCAGAGGAGCAACACGGTTTCAGAGTCGGCAAGTCTACAATCAGCGCGATCAAGTCGTGTCTGGATTGGGTGGACAACAGTCAGGAAATGGTGGTAGGTGTTTTCTTAGATATCTCAGGCGCTTTCGATAACCTGAGATGGAACATATTGATTAGGGACATGATGACTCTGGGCGCATCAGATGCGACCAGATCAATCATTCAAAGCTATCTGACGGGCAGGAGGGCGGTGCTCTCGGTGGAGGGAGCGACAGCATTCGCGGATCTCACCAGAGGCTGCCCTCAAGGCTCACAGCTAGGGCCAAGTCTTTGGAATTTGTCGATGGATAGGGCGTTGGTCACCAACAATGATGATAGGGTTAAGCTGGTCGCGTATGCGGACGAACTCGCGGTTCTCATCGCAGGTTCCGACATCTTGGACATTCAAGGACGAGCTAGAGCGACGCTCGGCGCTTTACGCGACTGGGCGGAGCTGAGAGGTCTAACCTTCTCGGCGAGTAAGTCTCAAGCTATCCCTCTGAAAGGCGGGTTGCGGTCGGGTTTCACTGTGCCCTTCGGGGCGCAGGATATCGTGGCCGTGGACTCAGTTAGGTATCTAGGTGTTGAATTGGACAGTAAGAGAAATTTCTGGGCGCACGTGAGCATCGTGGCCGGAAAGTCCGAATCCTTGTACAGCAGGCTAAGAGCGGCATCGTCAGCTGACTGGGGTCTTCGGCAGTCCACCTCCGCAGTAATATATAGGGCGGTCTTCCTGCCCCGTATCACTTACGCCGCGGAGATCTGGGCTAAGGGAGTCCTCACCAAGAAGGCGATAAAACTCCTCGGCAGCAAGCAGAGGAGGGCCCTTCTTACGGGGGCATACAGTACGACCTCAACGGACGCGTTGCAGGTGGTAGCTGGGCAGCTGCCTCTCGATTTGGAAATTCGTTGGCATGTGGTTAGGACTAGAAGGAAAGCTGGTCAAATCTCAGAGGAAGAGATGAGCGACCAGTGGGATAGGCTCTTGGACATCTGGCAGGATAGGTGGGATAGTAGCGTGAAGGGTCGTTGGACCTACGGTATCTTCCCAGACATCAGGAGGAGACTGGTCCTCCCACTCGAGGTGGATCACTACGTGTGCCAATTCCTAACGGGGCACGGGGACTTTAACTCCAAGTTGGAGTCCTTCAACCTACGGGGAGAGGCCATGTGCAGGTGTGAGACCGAGGACGAGTCGGTGGACCATGTGCTCTACAGATGCCCTTTGCTCTCTGCTGAGAGAGATAGGGTCATCAGGCAAATTGGCGAGGACGTTTGGCCGTGCGAGACCAAGGTGTTTATGGACACGAGGTCGAACTACTGTGCCCTACGTCGCTTTGCTAGGGAGGCCATCGAGGCCAAAAGATCTTCGGACAGGTTAGGCTTAGTTCCTGGTTAGGTAGGTCCCGTTAAGGCGACGGGCGGGTTGGTGGGGACCCAGGGTGGGCGCTCAGGCGTCCGTCCGAATCTCCACTAAAAAAGGCCCACCACTAGCCGGCTGGGGAGCCAAAATAGTGGGAGGTCATAGACCGGGTTGACCAACCGACGTCAACTAAAAACCTAGTCGGTGCCACGGGAGAGGGGAGCCCCATTGCACGCTGGAGCGGCCCGCCCGCTTTGCCCCTCGAGGTTGAGGAGCCTACCTCGGCTGAAACGTGGTGGTTGTGGGACAGGCGTTAGATAGTAGAACCCAAAACCACAGGACCTTGTGGGAAGACGGTACCCAGGTGGCACTTAACTGAGTCATCCCAGTCTTCAAGAAAGGTACGGGCTTATGCCCGGTGCTGGTCTTCCATAGAGCCACGTACAAAAAACTCTAGGAGACCCTAGTCTGGTGGGAGGTAGCTCCCGCCTTTCTAGTTCCACCCCCGCCCGTAAGTAGCGCATAGCGCTAAGGCACGGACGAGGTGCGGTAAGGCGCAAGCCGAAAAACCCGGGCTCTCCATGTTCCTATCTATCTATTCGGGGTCGATGATCGCCCACCTTGTCGTGGTGACCCCGCCCAAACGGGCTTAATTGTCCGGCGCTAAGAGGCGTTCAAAAACTGTCCGGAGCAGGCCAACTCCGGGCTTCTAACCCCTGGCATGGATATATGCAACCGCCGATCTAGCCCGCCGGCGGCCAGAGGGTGTAGTGCCATCAGAGGGCAGCCCCCTCTAAAAAACTAACATGAATACACAAAGAAAACAACTTGATGATACCGGCACAGAGGCCCAGGAAACCTCAGGCCCGGCAGGTGTGGGTGAGCTCGCCACACAGGTCGTGATCAGTAGCTCTGGTAATGCGAAAATTAAAATGGAAACGGTACAGTTGGATATAGATGATACGGACATTGTTATTAACGGAAACTGCTACTCTGTCCCCTTAGACTCAGGGGAGGGTGTGATGATGAGAGCACTATGGATGTTACAGAATCCAATAATAGAAGTGGTGACATGGGCGCCAGTGGCAGCCAGAAACGTGGCCCACCCTCACCAGGTGGTCAGGTGGCAAAGGAGCCCCGCACCAAGGAATCTAACGAAATGAGCGATCTTATTGGCTGGATCGAGCAAACAGTAATCCAAGAAAAGGACAAGAAAAAGATAGGCGTGCAGGTGGTGGAAAAAATGCTCGCCAAAATAAACAGACTGAGGTCGGTGACTCAGAGACTTGCACAAGAAAATCACAGACTAGCTGGTGAGCTGAAGGGCAAGGACGAGGCCCTCCAACAAAGCCTCACGGTATTTATTGATAAGCTTGACGCAAAAAACGCTGAGACTAGCGGCCTGAGGGCCGAGTTGAACGTGTTGAAGTCTACCAGGGAAGCACCACGTCCGGTAACGACTCAACAGCCCACCTACGCCTCTAAGACGGCGAGGACAGTCCCAAATACAGAACCTAGGACGATAGCGGTGCCAGACACTGCAAGCGTACCCCCGGCGAAGTCCAACAGGGCGGCTGAGAGGTTCCGCGCCGACAAGAGTAGAAAGGTAAAGGCGACATCACGCTTCCTAATAGAAATAGCACAAGACACGACTGTAGCTAGCGCCAAAGCGGAAATTTGGCAGAGGGTAAGGGCGAAGTGTAAAAACCCGAAGGCCAAAACAATAGTAAGCGGTAAAACGTTGATAATCATCCCTGATGACGCCAATACGTTGGAGGTGATGAGGGGTATTGACAATGTGTTAGAACTAGGCCCGAAGAAGCCCCGCGTCATTATATATGACGTCGACGGTGGAGTTACAAAAGAAGAGCTGACAGAGTGTCTCTTGGTGCAAAACTCCGAGCTAGGTATTACGGCGGAAGACGTAGAAAACACGACGCCACTTCACAAGTTGGGCCCGCGCAACAGTGATGTGGTCCACTGGGTGGTGGAAGTACCCCCGGGCGTCCTTGCCAAGATTGAAAATAAGTCAATTTATATTGGAATGACAAGGTGCAGATGCAAAGTGCACAGCTCGCTGCCGCAATGCTTTAATTGTCAGCAGTATGGGCACACGGCCATAAGATGTGAGCAGAAATCGCCTACATGTAGGAACTGCGCGGGGGCACATGACTCCCGCGAGTGCAAAGAAGATACGGTGAAGTGCGCGAACTGTAAAGGGCCACACAAAGCGTCCAATGGAACATGCAGAGCTAGGACTCAGGCTACACGTAGCCTTTTAAGGCGTACGGACTTCGGCTCGAAATGACCGAGTCCATAAAGTTTGCTCAGCACAACGTCAACAGACAAAAATTAGCGAGCCAGCAGTTACGGGACTACTGCGACAGAACACTAACTGTCATTGTATTAATACAGGAACCCGTCATGATAAACGGAACAGCCTATGGTTTCGAGAACTGCAGGCAGGCAGCGAGCAGTGACAACCCAGGCGTGGTGATAGTGATCCTCAAACCCAGGCTGCGGGTGATCGAGATGGCAGGCTTGTCTAGTCAGCACGTCGTTGCGGTGAAAATCACGAGAGGCAGTGATACGGATGCAGTCACGGTGGTGTCGGCATATTTTAAGTACAACATGCCGACCCACAACTTTATTGCTAAACTAAGGACAATACTCGAACGTGAAAACAGGACCATAATCGGAGCCGATGTTAATGGTCATTCACCGCTCTGGCACTGTAACGACACGAACGACCGCGGAAGTCAGACGGTTGACCTGATTGAGGAATTTAATCTCACAATCGTCAACCGAGAAAGCGAGATAACAACGTACAACCGAGATGGCATGGGCTCGTCGAATATCGATGTAACCATGGCGACACCGCGAACCGCGAACATGGTGCGGGACTGGTCGGTTTCGGACGAAACCGACGGTGACCATAACGTACTGTCATTCTATGTCGACCTAAGGACGGACAGATTGCCGAGGGTGGTTTCACACCGGTACAACACCAAGCGGGCGGATTGGGCCAAATTCGCCTCATGCCTGTGTAATCAAAGGGCCATAATCGACAGATCGAATGTAGATACTTACGCTCGGACATTAGTATGCGCAATACAAATCGCAGCCGCGGGCTCAATGCCGAAAGCTGGCGCAGCAGACCGGAGAGCGGGCAAACAATCCTGGTGGACGGCTGAACTTACCACCGCCAAAAAGGCCTTGGACCGCATGAGGAGATTGGGCCTCCAGAGAACGGATAGACCGTCTTACAACCAAGCACGTAACTCATATGTAGCTCACATCCGATCAGCTAAGCTCGCAGCGTGGCGCTGTTTTGCTGGCGATATTAACGTCAACACGTGGGGAAAAGCGTTTAGCTGGGCGGTTCTAGGTCGAGGAAGGTACCCTCCACCATGACTCGCCCAGACGGATCAATGACCGAAACACTAGACGAGACGGCACAGGTACTCTTAGGGTCTTTCTTCCCTAGGGAAGGGCAGAAAAGAGACCTCATAAGAAGCGGGCCTTTAGATAACTACGGAGGCCCGGTGGACGCTGATAGAGTCAGAGCGGCGATCTGGAGGATGCGCCCAGGCAAAGCGCCCGGACCCGATGGCATCACGGCTGGTTTGCTGAGGAATGCATGGCCGATCCTGGGTGAGGAGATGGTACGCCTCTTCAGAACGTGCATAATTGAAGCCACTTTCCCGCAATCATGGAAGTGCGCCAACTTGGTCGTACTGCTTAAACAAGGGAAAAAGGACGCTACGAATCCAAAGTCATACAGACCAATAAGCTTGTTGCCTACAATGGCAAAAGCACTCGAAACCCTTATCATTCAGGACTTGGAAACGGAAACCGAGTTAAATAATTATGGCCAACAACACGGATTTGTGCCAGGCAGGTCGACCATCACGGCAATGAAGTCCCTGTATGATTGGATACATGGTAGCAATAGCAGGCACGTGTTCGGGGTGTTTCTGGACATCACCGGGGCCTTCGACAACGTCGGCTGGTTCCCGCTAATATCCAGACTTGACGCGCTCGGCGCCTCGATCAGAACAATGAGACTAATCCAGAGCTACCTCGTCAATAGGTCAGCGAGCATCGTGATTGACGGCAAACGATACCAGCGAATTATAGAGCGAGGATGCCCACAAGGGTCCCAGCTTGGTCCCACATTGTGGAAGGTTGCCATGACGGAGATTGGCAACATGCAACTGGACAACACAGCCAACATGGTGCTGTATGCGGATGACATCGCGCTCACGGTGGCAGCGGCGAGGCCCCAAACTGCACATGGCAGAATCGAAAGATACCTCGATGGCCTCAAAGCGTGGGCTAAGGCATACGAGCTGGAATTCTCGCCAATAGTGCACTCCTCGCAACGATTTTGATTTCATTCTTTTTACGTTATTTTTTCATCAATATAATTCGCTATGGACAGTAGTGATGATCAGGGAATTGAAGGCGTAGCAGAATTACCATTAGTATCACCAATAAGAAAGAATCAACGCGGAAAAGTGAGTACCTATTATAATATGAAATACAATTATTATATGTTTTTTTTTTTTTTTTACAGTAAGTCAGAAAATACATTTTTTTATTTAAAATTTTTCTTTTTTTTCTTTTAGATTGTTGGTTCACGTGAGAGGTTACTCATTGTCAATATGTACAAGGCAAACATTCAGAAAGATCCGAATATGTCAATGAGGCAAATGAGGACGATTATTTCAAAAGAAATGGGCATTGGTGAATCAACAGTACACAGAACCATCAAGGAATACAATACAAGTAATGCGGTGAAATCTCCTAAACGAACCAAAGTAAGAGCACAAATGACTGATATATTCGACGATTTCGCACGGAATGCAGTCCGTAGGCACGTACACAGCATTTGGTTTCGACGCGAAATCTTTAGATAAAATATACAAAATTGTGTACGATGATAATCAGTTGCCAACAGTATCGCGTAGTACAATATTTAAGTTGTTGAAAGAATTAAAATTTAGTTACGTTAAGAGAGGTCGTAATAGTGCTCTAACTGAAAGAACCAAATTGATACTCTGGCGAAGACGCTATTTAAGATCGATACGTAGTTTTCGTGAGGAGGGTCGTCATATATACTACTTAGACGAAACCTGGGTGAATGCTGGTGACTGCCCAAACTACGAATGGCGTGATACAACAATCACATCTCACCGTGACGCATTTCTTAAGGGAATGTCGACCGGTTCCGTAAATCCGTCTGGAAAAGGCAAGTGTCTTATTGTACTACATATAGGGTCCGAAGACGGTTTTGTTGACAATGGATTATTATGTTTTGAATCCAAGAAAAACACCCGCGATTACCATGACGAGATGAACGGACAAACATTTTGCGAGTGGATGGAAAATATTCTACCTCGGTTAAAAGACAACTGTGTTATTGTTATGGACAAAGCACCAACATCGTCTACAAAGAAGGCCGATATTATACAGTGGTTAGAGGATAAAGGGGAAGTGGTGGACAGAACAATGATAGTACGAGAGCTTTTGAGCGTCGTAAAAAAAATTAAGCCACTACATGACAAATATGTTATTGACGAAATCGCCAAAGCTCCAAATAAAACTATTTTACGATTGCCACCATACCATTGTGAACTGAATCCGATTGAGCTAGCATGGTCATCGGTCAAGCATCATGTCAGGATGAACAACACAACGTTCAAACTACCAGATGTAAAAAATCTTTTGATAGAGGGCATACAAAGGGTTGATGCTGATATGTGGAAGAACTTTATCAAACACACAACAACGGAAGAAAATAAATTTTGGGAAATTGATAACATTATGGACGAGGTGTTTGAAGCGGAGACACAAAATGTTACATTAACTGTTGGAAATACATCTTCTGAATCAGAGTCTGACTGTGATTGACCCATTTTAAATTTTTTTGTAATTATTTGTAATTTGTTTTTAATACCTATGTTTTTTTTAATATGAGCATTTTTTGTAATTATTTGTAATTTGTTTTCAATACCTATATGTTTTTTTAATATGAGCATTTTTAAATTTTTTTGTAATTATTTGTAATTTGTTTTTAATACCTATATGTTTTTTTTTAATATGAGCATTTTTTAAATTTTTTTGTAATTAATTGTATATATATATGATGAAATCAAAATTAAACATTTTATATTACGTACATTATAATCGTAATTGTCTTCTTACGTATCTGTACAGCATACCTTATATTATACTTATAATATTATAAACAGTAAGTATTTTGGTTAAGTAATACATTGAATACAGTGTTAGGGTCATATTGAATTTGCAGCTGCCATGCGTACCGTACAACGTATAATATAATAGATGTATAATCGTAATTTTCGTAACAATGATTTTGTAACATTCTGTATACACGGCGGCAGCTGCCTACTACGCCAAGCGCCGTCGGTCGCCGAACACCGCCGACCAATCACAGACCGCCGGTCTGCTGCCTGGGGGGTCTGAACGTTCCGGCGGCTCAGTATGCATGCGCGGAAGTGGGTCAACTCTCGAAAAATAGAGTATAAGTAATTTATGGACAAAGAAAGTACATCTCCCTTGAACGTAGCTAATTCATTGTATAACACTAGTGTAGTAGAAGAAGCCCAGTTAGAAGCCCAGTTCGAAGCCCAGTTATTAGCCCAGAGAGAAGCCCAAGCCCAGTTTGAAGCCCAACCGAAAGCCCAGTTGAATATTATAATAGAAACTCAAGTCCAGGAGAAATCACACGTAGCCAAGTTACAGATAGTTTTGAACATCAGTCATTAGTATTTTTACCTATAACACGCACTAAAAAAAATGGCAGTAACCATAAAATTAGAAGACGCTTTTAAATTAATTCCACTATACACAGGAATAGACGATATCTATCAATTCATAAATGCATGCGTTATGGCAGTAAGTTTAGTCGACACAAACAGTGCACCAACACTAGTAAAATATATTACCACACGCTTAACGGGTAGAGCATTAGAAAAGATTAAATACAAAAATGTATCGAAATGGCAGTTTATAAAAAATTTTTTAACAGATGCATTTGAGGTAACAACCACGGCATCGTCGTTACAACTTCAATTAAATTCGATTAGAATGTATCACAATGAGGATGCAAATGATTATTGTCATAGAGTAGAGAAACTATATTATCAGTTATATACCGTAAATACATTAGGCAAAGAAGCTGCACAAGCAAAAATTATATATGATATATTAAGGGAACAAACTCTAGCGATATTTATTAAAGGATTAGTAGAACCGATTAGAACAATAGTAAAATCTCGTAATCCCAAAACTCTGGAGATCGCGAAACAACTTGCTATGTCGGAACAGGTGGAACTAAGATTAGAACAGGAAAATAGGAACCATTATTCGAATATTCATTCACAAAATTATAACCAGCGCAGATCGAATTTCGAAAATAGGAACAACGAAAACATTAGACCAAATAACCCTGTAAGGACAAATAATTATCCGCGAGCAAACAATTTTTCTCAACCAATCAATAGGCCAGCAATAAAATGCTATAATTGTAAATTAGCCATGGGCAAGCTAGGCGATCACGATGATTTAGAATGGGGAAAAATAAGGTCAATGTTACAATACATATTTTGCAAAACAGATATAGAAATAATGATATGTGAAAATATAGAATATAATGCAGAAGAAAAAGCAATCATTTTATTACAATTTCACGATTCAAAACTAAGTGAACATTTAGGTGTGAATAAAACCATTAAGCGCATTAAAAAACAATTTTTATGGAATTGTATGAAAGAAGACGTTAGAAAATATATGAAGAATTGTACGTCATGTCAGGTTAATAAGGTATCAAATCGACACATAAAACAACCAATGGCTATTACATCCACTTCGTCTAAACCATTCGGAAAAATATTTATGGATACAGTAGGGCCTTTGCCGATTACACTGTCCAATAATGTATACATTTTAACGATGGAGGACGATTTGACACGTTACACTTTAGGAATTCCACTTGCTGACCAGAAGGCAAATACTGTTGAGGAAGCTTTTGTTACACACTTCGTATGTGTACACGGTATACCAGAAACAATACTCACGGATCAAGGAACTAATTTCCTCTCGAAAACGTTTGCAAATGTTTGTAAAATATTAAAAATAGAAAAGGTTAACACAAGTTCATTCAGACCGCAGGGTAACCCCGTAGAACGTGCTCATAGGACTTTAGCCAAGTACTTACGGCATTATGTAGATAAGAATTTAAATAATTGGGATCATTTATTAATTATTACCCTTTACATTCTTTGTATATAAGTCGACAGTACATATTTCTACTAATTTTCAAACATACGCATTAGTTCATAAATGTACATTGGAGGTACCGATTAACTCGAAGGCCAAACCTGAACCACGTTACAATTACGACGATTATATATTCGATCTAAAAAAAACACATGTGATAAAATATAAATGGTTTTAATTATATAAGAATTAAATAAAATAGTTTAATTTAATATAAAATATAATTTATACTTTTAGATTGGTGATGGTGACGTGTTTTCTAGTCAATACTATCGAATCTGACGATATAAGTACATCAGACTACTTTTCATATAAGCCATATGGAGTTGGCAGGGGAATACAATATGAAGGTTTGGGGCCAGTTAGATTGATAGGGGCTCAATACAGTCTTATAACGTTTTTCTCATTGAAAGAATATAAGGAGAAATATGAATTATTGGGGGAAAAAATAAAAAATATAACAAATATATGTACTGAACAGAAACACCAAGATTTATGTGGAAAATATCAAATAGTAATTACAGATTTATATAATGAAATAACCAAACAGAAAGAACGTATGTATATGTCACTAGGAAGTACTATACAGGAACAAAAACAAAGAAAGAAAAGAGGATTAATAAACATAATAGGTAACACGATGCATACATTATTTGGCGTATGCGATGATAAATGCACTAAGAAAACACAAGAAGCTATAAAAAAACGGAAGAATCAGGAACTAACATATTGCATATAATGGAGACCCAAACTACTGTAGTAAAATCAACAATAAGAAGCATCGGTAATACAATAAATCAAACTGAACAATTATACAATAATATTACGGAAAAGGAGCATCAACTATATGAAAAAATGTAAAAAATACAGAACAAAACAAACGATATATTAGATTTACTAATGAAAAATGAAATACATAATTTATATACAATAATTATAAATCAATATTCCTACGAAACAGAAACATTAGGACAAATAGTTACTGCCGCTAGAGAAGGAATTATACATCCAAGTCTTATGACACCGCAAGAACTAGCATCAACATTAATAACAATAGAACAAAATATAAAGAAAACATATAGTATTCCGATGGGAACTAAATGAATTTCAAAAAATTACAAAAATAAGAATCTACTATTCAAACAACAGATTAGTATTTGATATAGTAATACCATTGATTATTGACACTGAGCTTACATTATACAGGTTAACACCAGTACCAATGCATAATAACCAAGATAATTCTAGTGGATAGTACCTAGCGGACATTACTTACAATAATATTGCTGAAACCAAAGGTTATAAAAGGTTTACTACATATACAGATCAACAATTAAGCGAATGTAAAGAAACATCAATATACAGAATATGTAATACACCACAACCTATACAGGACAACAATGAACGCCAACCATACGAAGTACAAAACTTTATAAAATCTGACACGTATTCTAATCCTGAGTTATGTACGGTAAAGAAAATTAATTTAAAGAGAAGCATATACCAAAAATTAAAAAAAAAGAATATATGGATTCATGCAGGAAAAGAGACATTAACAGTAAGTTGCGCCAATCTAATAGACCCATTCATCGTAGAAACAAATGAAGCGGGAGAAATAACTATAAAAATAACAGGGACAAATGGACGCGGCCGTTTCGACGCGACCATTAGGACGCAGCCGTTTGGACGCGAGGTCATTTAGACGCGGCCGTTTGGGCGCGTGGACATTTGGACGCGAAAAAAACATAGATTATATTATAACCATAATCGATGTTATGGAATTGTATTAAGCCTATTAGTTGTACTTTTATCGTTTCTATATATCTATTATTAAGTCACCCATTTATGTTTGCCACAATATATACATTATACTTTTATCGCGATATTAGGGATTATCCGACGTTATCGAAAAACGATATCAAGAAACGACATAGTTGATAAAATCCACTTGCAAACCAACGACAATTTTAATTGACCGAAAGCAGTGGTTAGATTTACATTACTTTTACTATAGTATATTATAATATTTGAGTTAGCTATGGCCTTAATGAAGTCAAATCGAAATGAATGCATTTTTACTGAAAATGGTTTTATATATTTATTTGACAAACTAAGTTCTGATTCACTTAAAAAATTTTGGCGCCGTAAATACAAACGTGAGTGCAAGGCACGCGTTCATACAGGAATTGATAGTTTAGAAGTACTGAAACGCATTAATGAACACACTCATGATTCGGAGGCTGCAAAAGTCGAGGCGATGGTTGGCATTAATCGTTTGAAAAATAGAGCGGCTGAAACCATGGAACCAACATCAACTATAATCAACGAATGTATTTCTGGATTATCAGAAGCGGCTAAGGTAATACTATTTTGTCAATTACAAGTGAGTCACTGTAATGGATTATGTTTAATTTGAATCCAATGCAAATCTTGTGTTACATTTTAAAATCTTAGATTTAAAAAGAAAAATTTTTATGCATTTTTAACTCTAAATAATTTGCAAATTTTCGTCATTTTTACGTATTTTATCAAAATTTCAACTTTAAATGCTTAGAAAAAAAATTGTGACTACAGATAATTTATTTTAGCTCTAGCAAAATCGGTTTTGTCGAAAAACAATGTTGCGTAAAAATTCCCGTTTTTTTCTTAAAAAAAAAATTTAAAAAAACACACATCATTGTAAAACCAATACATTCATCGCTTCGCTTAGAATCTAAAAATGTATTTATTTATTTATTTACTTTATTTTAAATTAGGGTGCAATTTCATCAAGTCAAGCATTGGAAAAAGTAGTACGACGGAAACGAAAAGAAATTCAAGCATCACCAAATGCACCACAAGATCTACTACCTTTGAAAATACCAGATTCCTTTAAAGTGTACTCACCATCAACAGGTTTGACTGAACCATTTTTACTTGACGATAGTGGACCAGGCGTCGATCGTATTTTAATTTTTGGAAGAAACCGTAGTTTAGACATTTTATACAATTCAAAAGTTTGGTACTGTGATGGAACGTTTAAAATCGCTCCAGCTATTTTTTCTCAAGTTTTTGTGATACTTGCTGAAGCTTTGGGTGGTGTACACCCACTTATATATGCTTTATTGCCAAACAAACAAGAAAAAACGTACACTCATTTATTTAAAATGTTAAACCAATTAAAGCCAGGATTAAACCCGACTTCAATATCTTGTGATTTTGAGCAAGCAATACTAAAATCTATAAAAACTGAATATCCTAATACTGAAATTTATGGTTGTCTTTATCATTTTTCCAAAAATGTTTATAAAAAATTATGTGACCTAGGGATTGTGTCAAGTTATCGAAATAATTCTGATTTTTCAATCTTTGTGAAAATGGTTGTAGCATTGACATTTATACCAATTAATGATATTGATTTGGCAATTGAATCGTTGTCGGGATACTTACCAGACGAATTACAGCCCTTACTAGACTGGTTTGAAGACAATTATGTTGGACGAATTAATAGAAATCGAAGAGGTCGTCGATTACCTTTATTTCCTCCTAATATTTGGAGCATGTATAACAAAGTTTTGAATGGAAAAAACAGAACCAACAATCACGCCGAAGCTGCTAATCGAAGACTAAACATGGAGATGGGCGTTAACCATCCAAGTTTGTGGTCTTTTATAACGTGTCTTCAAAAAGTTCAGTCAGGTAGAGACTTTTATTATAGTCAATTAGAAGCAGGAAATAGTCCCCCTAAAAAATTAAAAAAATATATTGATGTTGATAAGAGAATTTTAAAAATTGTTCAAAATAATGAACAAAGTGAAATTTTAACATTTTTGAGAGGGATAGCCCAAAATATTTCAGTACATAAATAATTTGTAATCAATGTAATTAATTGTACTGTAATTTTTATTTTACTGTAAATTTGATGTAATTTTTATATTACTGTAAATTCGATATAATTTTTATTTTACTGTAAATTCGATGTAATTTTTATTTTACTTTATTTTATTTTACTATTTTTATATGTATTATTATTTATGTTTTTTTCGCGTAGTACCTATTGTTAAAATGCCCATTACAATCTACCTATATTACAGTTTTAAGTAATTGTTACTTACTTACTCACTTATCTAATATTCTCTTTTAACTTTTTCAATTTGCTTATTAATTAATCCAGGTATTCATTCTTTAGTTGTATATAATATTTAATTGTACAGTATTTTGATTTTAATTTAGTTGAATTAAAACTATAATACTTTAAGGATTATTCTTCTGGCATATACAATTTATTGTAAGTGTACTTTTTCTATTTTTTAAAATATGTTATTGTTCCAATTTTTTAGAATATGATAAAGTTTCATGAAGACTTCTGCCAAAGAGAAATAAAATACTTGCATCACGAAGCTACAATTCAATCATACAATTCAGCATTTGTTGGGGAAGATATACAGTCAATATCATCTTGCTATGTTCGAGTGAATCAGAGATTTTGGTGCTTCGAGGATCCTTTAATTGCACTAGAGGTGTGCTTTAAAACATTTTTCGTATTCAACTGTAACTATCCAAAAGAGTGTTATGATTCATGGTTAATTGTTCAACAATTATTATTTCAACTACATACACCACACGACAAGTCAACATCAATAACAAAATCGGTATCAGGACAGTTTTAATAATTTAATTTTTTTTAATTCTTGTATTTAATATTTTCAGTTTTAACGATAATTATTTGATTGACTTAAACATTTAATAATTTTTCATTTATATTTTGTAAGGTTTAAAATCTTAAGTTCATTAGTTATTTGAAAGTAAAGTGTTAAAAATTTTTATAATGTTTATTTGCTTCATATGTTCGTCATCATTTGCCACTATCGATCAACTTATTTTACATTTAAGACATTATCATAATTTAAACACCCAATCTGTATTTTACTGTAAGCAACAAGAGTGCGTCAGTCACTTCCAAGGATCAAAACAATTTAGACAACACCTAAATAGGGTACATTCTGTACTAAATATAAACCCTGCATTTTTAAACAATATTAATAGCCCTAGTAAAAATTTGAACATAATTTCATCGGCAGTATTGAATTTGAATGAATCCCAAGAACCTCAAGAAGTAGAGATTGTTGAGGAAGTTGGTTTAAATGAGAATTTTGAAAATATGGTCAGGAGTAGTGCTTTAAAGTTTATAACCAGTTTGAATACTAAACCTAATGTAACATCTTCTTTAATGCAAGAGATAGTAGAAACAACGACTGAATTATTCTCATCCGGAATAATTTCACACTTAAAATCTAAAATTGAACCTTATTTGACAAGCTGTGATAACTCTCAACTAATTGAAATTCAAAATATGTTTCATATTTTAGAAACTCCTTTTTTTAAACTTAAAACTGAGTATCAACGTATTAAATATTTTGAATCAAATAATGTATTCTTTAAACCAAAAACCATTGTATTAGGTTTTACAAAAGAGACTAAAATTGTGTCTGGTGTCGAGCGACAGGTTATGGTTCCGGTCCAAGGGCATTTATTTTGTATAAAGGAGAACCTTCAACATTTTTTTGAATTGCCTGGTGTGTTTGATGTGGCTTACCAATATACGGTTTCATCTATGAACAATTCAAATTTGTCATCTTTTTTAAATGGATCTACATGAAAAAATATAATGAACAATTTCCCAGATAAAATAATTTTCATTATATTTCTATATTACGATGATGCTGAAATGGGTAATCCTCTCGGTTCTCATTCTGGTGTGCATAAAATAGGATGTATATATTATACTATACCTGCTCTGCCCCCTGAATATTTGTCATCTCTGGAAAACATTTTTCCTGCATTTTTATTTCATTCATCCGACAGAGGAGCACACAAATTTGACAATAAAACTATGTTTTCTGCCCTTATAAATACTCTTATTGATTTAGAAGAAAATGGTGTTACAATAGTAGTAAATTCTATCAGCACAAAAATATATTTTGTTCTTGGTCTAATTCTAGGTGATAATTTAGGATTAAATTCAATGTTAGGCTTCGTACACAGTTTTTCTGCAAATCATTATTGTCGCATATGCCGTTTACAAAAATGTGATCTTCAAACAATGTTAAAAGAGTCAGTTGAATCAATAAGAAATAAAAATAATTATGAATCAGATATCATCTACAACCAGAATGTGCAACATTACTAGATAATTTAATTTCTGAACATAATCGTCTATATTTAAATTTCTCTAATAGTTTATTGAAACCTAAATTCCACATCCTAACCCACTATGGTCGTCTTCTTCTTCAAAATGGTCCAATCTCTCTTACATCTTCTTTAAGATTTGAAGCTAAACATAAAGTTTTAAAAGCATATTCAAATTCAATACCATGCCGTATAAATTTAGGACATACTCTATCTCATAAGCTGCAGTTACAAATGGTCGATAGGTTTTTAACTCAAAGAGGGTTACAACCTGACTTAAAAGTAGGTTCATGCATTAAAATAATAGAGTTCTCACAATGTGTATTAGATTTGTTACCTATAGAATTTAAACTAGACACAGTTTTAGTGTCTTCGATAGAATATAAAGGTGTTACTTTTAAACCTGCTATGTTAGTAATTGTTGGTATCAATTTAAATGGCTGTATATTTGGAAAAATTATTAATATTCTTATTAACAAGGACTCCATATTTAGTGTATGAACTTTATTTAACTGTAGGCTTTGATAACCATTTTCATGCATATGAAATAAAAAAATATGATGAAAAAGAATTAAACATTAGTGGCTGTTATATAAAAGATTTGTCTGACATTACTCCTACTGTTAGTAGAGTTCTTAGCAATGGTAAATTATATGCTACATTGAGATATGCACTATAATTTAAATTATCTTAAATTTATTTCTATATGCATTTATCATGAAGAAACTGCAGTATACATAATGCAATTAAATAACATAATTATTATGTATTATATTATATTTTATTTGTATTCATATTGTGTTTCATTTTATGTATTAGTACTTTATTTATTTATTTATAATATATTATAAGCTATATTTTAAATATTATGTTGAATAAAATTATTATATTTAAAAAAATCAAATGTCTTCCTATTTATTTTATTTACCTATGAAACTTCAACCAAATCAACTTTTCATAGATTTGTTGACACAACATAGTATGGTGTTATTTTTACATTAAAGTTCTTGGTGATTAACATTTAACAGGATTAATATAACATAGAAAAAATGTTATTTTAAGATTGAACCTATGTAGTTGTTTCAACTATTTATTTGGAATTCAAGTAATAAATAATATTGGTGTTCATTTAACAACTAAAAATTAGTGGGTATAACTATGAAATGGTGTTAAAGTGATACGGAATTGGTGTTCATTCAACACATACAAAATAGTTGATATAACTTTTAAATGGGGCTAATGTAAAATATAATTGGTGTTAATTTAACTACATTGAGTGATCAATAGTCTTTGGCTAGTACTACTCTTATGTTAACAAACTACTAATGTTATAATAACACCAATCGAGTCATAGCTCAAAAATAACGTGCAAATGTGTATGAGATTGACACCAGTTGTTGTTAGATCAAATACAGTTTTCTATGTGTGTAGTTTCAAAAATAAGACCTATATATATATAAATTAACGAGGAAGGTGAAAACTTAATTTAAAGTAAATTTTAAGTAAACAAAAATTTATGGTTGCACATGTGTATGACAATTTTAATAATTATTCATATAGATTTATTATATAAAATTAATTGGTGGAAGATAATAATTATTATTATTGTAATCAAGGGGAAATACTTACGTTATATACTTACATTATATACTTACACTTTTAATATTGTAATTTCAGGTACAATACTATTTTATTGTTTTAAAAGGACTATTGCTCCTTCTTACTAACACTAGTTATTTAATAATTTATGTATTAATCTTATTCTTACTAAATCACGATATTTAACTTTTAATATGTATAATAAATATGTAACAGTAATAATGTATGACACTAAAAATTGTAAATGTCTACACTGTAATATCAAAATTGTAAACTATTATAACAATTGTAATCAACGTATGTCAAATTGTAAATCAACTATTGTGATTAATTAACTTAACTATGATTGTTAAAGATTCTTAACCCTTAAAGGTTAACAATCTTTTTTTTGGTGGGGAGGTGTAATGGGATTACGCAATTCATGTACAACGCTCATAATAACAAGAACAACTTATGTAGAAAGCGGCCTCGTCGACCACACCCAAAAGTGGTCATAGCTAGAATAGACGCTTCGAACCACAACAACTTCCCAAGGGCGCCTACATGCCACGCGCCGCTCAATTCAAAGGGCGTCGCCTTCGTATATTCGTATATATAGAGGCTAATGTGAAAAACCTGGAAATTCCAAATTGATCCCACAGACTTCCAACTATTGGCCTTGCGATTTATTGATTGTCATCGCAAAAGCCAATCTAACGGGAAACTGAATCCGCTTAAACTGAAATGGAAGATCTGTTGGAATGATCGGAATTCGTGGGATAAGGACTTCCTCCCCTTTGAAATTGCCCTTGATGATCGTTGATTGTATTACATTGTTCATCAGTTTCTTGACGGACAACCGTGTACCATTACACAATTTAGGAGGATTTAGATTCCGCAACATAATTATGATCGATCCCACTTTTACCTGTAAATTATGCGGTGGAGTTCCGGGCACATCAAGCGAGTTCAAAAATTCTGTCAGATAGTTGACCGCTTCGTTTTCGTCGGTCGTGCTGTCAACGGATTTGTATGAACGCAGTTCTCCAGCAATTTTACTCTGGATTGTAAAATTCAAGCTATCGACGTTGTAATAGGATTACGAAATTCATGTACAACGCTCATAATAACAAGAACAACTTATGTAGAAAGCGGCCTCGTCGACCGCACCCAAGAGTGGTCATAGCTAGAATAGACGCTTCGAACCACAACAACTTCCCAAGGGCGCCTACATGCCACGCGCCGCTCAATTCAAAGGGCGTCGCCTTCGTATATTCGTATATATAGAGGCTAAGGCCCCAATACAAATTAGATGTACCAGAGCCGCCAAGACCGAGCGAGCAGCTTAAAGCACCAGCCATTACACACAGCTTACATGGAGATTATCAACTACTACAACGAGTCAACTCACGACGCTGCAATTCACCACGACTATATTAATTATTATTGGTTTTAATAAAATACAATTGATTTATATTTAAAATTGACTACATTTCATTGTAAAAGCGCAACAAGCTTTTGGATCCCTGAAGGGTCGTTCGTAACACTGGCGCAGTCGAAGTAGGATTTCTTTCAAAGGAGGCAACCCGTCAAAGGCTACCGTCAACAAAGAAGAACTGTACACTCTTCCGAGAAGACAACTCCAAGAAGAACCATCAAAAACAAATAAGTCACGTCGTGGTACCAACAAAACTGTGTAATGAAAACTTTAGGAGATATTAAAATATGTGCTTTTGATATGGCAAAACTTAGAATATAACTATATTATTAATTTAATTTTTTAATAGAATTGTTCTATTAAAAAATGTTCAATATTTAACGCGTGTCCCATTCGGACACCCGTTATTAAAATCCAAAAATCTTTGAAAACTATTTTACACTTTGATACTTTGAGGGGGACTTATAAAGAATTAAAATTAAAAATGTTTAATGTAAAAATAAAGATTCTAACATAAATAGCAATGGAGTTATACTTAAATGAAAAATATGAAGCGGGGGTAAACTTTTAATATGTAGTGTAGATAAGTATATAAAACATAACTGTGTTGATCCGACTTGATAATATCAAATATTAAATGAAATATAGTACTTATACGACCGTTTTATTTTTAATAATTTTGATGGAAAAAACGGAAAAAAAATGCAAAAAATTTACAAAATCATTCCCAACTTTGCAGATACCCGTTAGGAAAAAAGGAGGCCGGAACTCTTTTACAGATATCTGCAAAGCTATCGTGGGCAGTGAAGTTACCCAAGTTCTTTATTCAGCAGGTCAACGACAGTTTTTCAGTAGATTGCATAGGTGTGTGCACCCACCTATACAATCTACCGTAAACGTCTTCAAAGCCTGACGAAATTAGTAGGTGAATATGCAGCGCTACACATTCTCCCACTAGTTTCAATCCGACCAAGAACACATTTAAATCAAACTCGTTAACCACTGAGCTACAACACTTGGGCTTGTATAATGATTATTTAAACACTATTTAAATAATTCGATAGAAAAACATCATAATATAAACTATACATAATATATGGTGGAGTATTCTAAGGAAACATTTCACTCAATTCTGGATGGACGTATTTTGTCAATTAAAAAATGATGGACTATTTAGTGGAACATTTCTTGATAAAAAGTATGTGTGTTACCAGTACGCGCGCCGGAAGTTAAATTTCTTTTGAATGGTACACTTGAGTGAGTGAAAAAGAAAGAAAGGCATGGATAGACTGGGTAATGAAGATAATAAAGAAAGATAAGAAACAATGTAAATTATATTTTTTATATTTTTTTTTAATTATTATTTTTTATGCTAATGATTGATTATCATTTTGCTCAATCGGTATAGTAGTTATGATTGGCATATGATGACTGAAATACGAAACGTACATTTGTGACTGAACATTATCCATATATCGCGTAAAAATTGCATCGATTGTTTCCGGCTAATCACATGGTAATAAATCAAACAACTCGACCAAATGTCAACAAACGCCGGCATGTGTATTTATTTGCATAGGTCACAATAACATATGTGTATGATATATATATATATATATACTGCAGTACGAGGAGCATGGTATATACGCATGTTGTGGTATAGGAGTCGTGTTATAAGAGTCGAAGAAGTAGCAATACCAAATTATGATAATTGAATCCGCTGTTCAGAGAGACGCTGTTTAGATAGCTAGTCCACCGTCGTCTGATAACGATTATAATACGATTATTGTAAGGGATGATTTAAAACGCGTGGCTTGTATTTTGAGTCCATTAGTGGCACACGATAGCATAATATAGAAATGCGATATACGTGATCATAATAATAATATTATATAGAATTCGTAGGTACTGGCCGAAACATTGGTGAGTTGTAAACCGAGTCTAAAATGTCGAATGCACACTTGGTATATGCAATATAATATTATATACTATACAGGGTATTATAATCTGGGCACTCAAGCAAACAAATTTTTGGTGTACGATAATTTTTTTGAAAAACGATAATTATTTAAATACTTTACGATAATATTAGTTTGAGAGTCTGGCAACACTGGCGCCGCCCGTTCGTACGCGCCGACCGTTCGCTTTTTTATCCTCACTACCCTGCGTAAAGAAGTATAACTTCAAAACCTGATCAGATTTTGTTTTTTAAACATTATTAAGGTAATTAATTAGTGTTATTTTATCTATTTGTATTTAATTACCTATTAATTTGGGAATATAAAATAAGTAATAACTAATAAGTACCTATGTATGAACTCTGTGAACATTAAAATAATTTCTCCAAAATGATTCACTTATATGCATCTACTTCTATCTTAAATTATAAAACTATTAACAAATTCTCAGACGATTTACTATTATTTTGTCGTTATTCAAAAACAAACAAGTATTGAAATTTTCATCAACTGTTTATTTTATAATTTTCTGTAAATGATACAATTTTCAAAATATTTTGACTTGTTTTGAGACATTTATAGACATTTTTAAATGTCAATATGCTTGAAAATTTAATACAGAGTTCCTTATAAGTAGGATATAAATGTATAATATCAATTGAGAAATATTAAAGATCTATGCACTTTTTTTTGTTAGTATTTAAAATTTAAAGTTAAAAATTTGACATTAACCAAAATCTCGAAAATTTTCAAATTATTTTGTAGTTCAAAATTATAAAATGTTCAATATTTTTTATAGGCAAGAATTTAAAATTTAAAACAACAATTCTCATATAAATAGTTCTGAAATAATCTAAAAAATATATATACACAGTTATTTCTTACAGGCATTTTAAGTTTAAATTTGGACAATATTTAAAAAACCAACAAAAACAATTTTATTTATTTTGTTGTAATTTAAAAATATTATTAGTGGGTTTATCATATTTGAAACTTTGGCGAGTATATAGTTATATTTTATACACAATGAAATTTTAAATTTTTTTGCAAAAATTATTTTAACTTACTAGTTACTGTTGTACTAATGGTAAAATAAATATATAGACAGATTGTCTTTGCTGCTCAGCATCGTTTTTCGTATACAATGGTTTTAAATAGTGACACGCTTGTAACTACTGTACAGCAGGCTGCAGCTGTTGAGCTTACCCCTGGGCTGCAACTCAAAAAATTAAAAAAAAAAGTGAGACAAGTGACCTTTTGTTGTTTTTTTTTTTGGTTACTAAAAGTGACTATTTAAATTAGCACAAGCAATGCAAAAAACCTGTGTATTTGAATACTTATCCCCCTATGTTGAAATCTTATTATTACAAGAATCCTTTTTAAACAGCCACGCATCTTGAACTGTAAATTTTCCAATGATCGGATAAAAATATGGCTTAATTTGATACACACCAATAACAAAAACAAAAAATAACACCAATTTACTTGACAAATGTGGAAATTTTTATCAGTGTAAAAAAAACTTAAAACTTTAACTACTAAATAGTAAATATAAAGATTTATATTAAATAAACTAAAGAAGATTACAACTAGGTAGTCATGGTAATACATACATTAAATATATTGGTTATAGAGGCACACAACAGTGTTCAATACATAAATAGGTCACAGGCATTGGTCAGTGGTCATACAATAATACCAGCAAAACCTTTTTTTTTTATAGTCTCTAAAACAACTACAGAATAGGTGAAATCAGAATGTACGATCTCCAAAACCTGTTCTGTGGTAAAATCACGGAGTAAGGCCTAAGAAAACAGTTAGTATAATATTCTATGTCTTAGTCCGTATGTAAAATTAAATGAACAGAATTTTAAAAACTACATGATTAATTTCTGTTTTTGTCGAAACATTAAAAAGTGTCAAAAAGTGAGAAAAGTGACAGAGTTACAGCTCTGTTACCCGCTTTTTTTAAATTAAATTTTCATTAATATTAGTAGTTGTTTATTATATTTTGTCAATATAAATTATGGAATTAATATGTATCTTTTACAGAAAGAACTCAAAGAAATGATGCAAGAGTGGAATATACATAGAATCAGAAAATCTAAGAATAGTATATGTTGTTATGGTCGACCCATAACTATGTTTGAAATCCCTGAAGAGCAAAACACCATAGACTTTATACATACAGTTGAAATCAGCGAATTACAACTCTGCAAAAATGAAAACATGTATTCTACGAACATATGTTGTGATGAAACTGTTTATGAACTTTGCAATATTATCCTAGCAGAAAAAAGAATTGCTATACCTGATGATCCTTACAGCATTATTGATTATATATATATTATGTTAAGAAATACAATACAAGAAAAAATAAATTAACACTTAAATATTTCAAATTGCTATCATTTATTAAAAGTTAAGAGTTGAAAAATTCAAAACATTATATTCTATGCTATGTGCATAACCCAAATATTTGACTCTAAAATTGAATTTATCTGGCTTCTCAAATCAATAAACCTGTCATAAGACATTGGTAAATCTAAAGTGTTTGTACATGTATGTGCCACTGGAGATCTAGAATAATTATTTTTTGCAGAAGTGAAATTAATGTTAATCTGATCAGTGATAATAGCTGTCCCAGTAACAAAACGAAGGAACTTTGTGCATAACATTTGATCAGCTTCTCGTATAAACTTTTTTAAAAATCCAAACACAGTTTAATTTTACTTTCATCTTTATCTGGGCACTGGAGGTTTTTCAATAAGTTAGTCGAAGTTGGTATCTTCTTTATATACATTTCTTGTAAGGATATTTCTGATATTATTGGAATAACTTTATTTCTTAATTCTTCTGACCAAATATCAATTATATATTTGGGTCGCTGTATAATTTCTTTGTGTGCAATTTCAGAAATAACATCTTTCATATTTTTTTCATTCACTATTAATCTGCAATCAAATTCTTGAAGTATATCTAATAATTCACCTTCATCGATTTGTTTAAAATTTTTAAGAGCATTTTGAAAAACATCTTTGGATTTAAAAGGAAGTGTATTTAAAAAACCGTCAACTAAATCTTGATTATTTACAACAGTCCCACAGATCACATATTTCATGAATGGTAACGCCAGACTTAGAGGAAGATACTGGATGTCTCTCCAACCAATAAAAATTATTTTACTAATTGCTCGCCATTGTTCGTCCTGAAAATCATGTCCGATGATAGGTGCTTTCCAGTTACATCCCGTAGTGGCCAGTTCATAAAAACTAGACCAAAATTCGGCCAATACATCTTTAAAAACTCCGCCAATATCAATTGTATTTTCTACACTCCCGTTGGGTAAAATCAGCTCAAATTGAAATTGAGGATATATTTTAATATGTTTAAAAGCTTCAATTAATTCATTGAAAATACGTCCTCCGTGTAGAATTAATTTTGTTTTCTCTTCTAACGGTGGTGCAGTATAATAGTTATGGTCTTTGTAACGTATTTGCTGTTCCACACTAACATCAGTTATTCCTTCTTCGTTTTCTAATGATTCATCAATGTTATATCCATCAAAAATGTTCTCAAAATTATCATTGTTTGCCAATCATAGTGGTGTAGGTGAATTTGAAGGTGATACGTCAAACAAATTTTTTGATGAACCACTTGAACCTGAAACTATATAATCAGACACTGTTGTTTCTTCCTTAGATTTTGAATAATTTGAAATGTTGTCTTTAAGATCTGTTGCCAAATAAAATCTCAATGAATTTAATCCTGAAAACAATCAAACAACAAAGTAAATTAAAATTAATATACATTATTATACATTAATACAAATAAATTTATTATTACTATGATAAACACAATAAAACTAAGATAAACGTATTCATCAGATAAATGTCTGAATCAAAAACGATGAAAAAAAATGATTAATACATCGCGAATAAATAAATTATAAATCGTGTAAATAAAAAAAATAAAAAAAAAATAAGAAAACGGAAATAGAATTATAAAGATAATAGTAAACGTAATATACATATAAAATATGAAATACAAATGTAAGATAAGGAAACTAGAAGGGAGACCGCTACTCTTGCCACTTCATGAACGAGTAAGAGAGAGATGGAAGTTCATGAATTACTGTTGGCAAAGAGGGTGATCATGCGGGTGTTCAGCTGTAAGGAGGTGACGAGAACAACATGTCTGAAGCAACTGGATAAAAGTTTGAGTAGTAAATTAAATTACTTAACACCGGAATATATAGAAAATTATATTTTAAAAGGAGGGAAACGGAACATAGTAGTATTATGGAATGGAATGGATATCAAAAGTTAGAGTCGGTTCGATATATGATACGGTGCATAATGATCTAATGATATTGAATGACGATCAGTGGCATGTTATCATATTCCGGACGGATTTAAATACTCAATAGGAAAGGTACATTTCCCCAGCCCCCCCCCCAATTTTTTTTTTTTACCATTCGTTTGTAGCCGGTTTGTATTGGTTTGTAATCAAATTTTTTTCGTTTGTAGAGATTTGGTTTTTTTTTTAAAACCAAGATTTTGGTGGGGGGCTGGGGAAATGCCCTAAATTGGAATTTTCATTTTTTTTTTTACCATTCGTTTGTAACCGGTTTGTATTGGTTTGTAATCAAATTTTTTTCGTTTGTAGAAATTTGGTTTTTTTTTAAAACCAAATTTTTGGTGGGGGGCTGGAAAAATGCAATAAAATTGGAATTTTTATCTATTTTACATTTTATATTCAACAAGGCTTTTAAAAACCATTTTTAATAAAAAAAATCTAATTAAAAGTCTTGTTGATTATAAAACAAATTTGGATAAAAAAAAACAGCAATTTAATCAACAAGGCTCTTTCTTATCACTTTTTTAGATTTTTTATCTAATTCGTAATTTTTTAAGATTTTTTAATCAACAAGTCTCATTAGATTTTTATTCTACTTTCAACTTTTTTGTACCCAATTTAAATTTTTTATTTGAATTTTCTTTCTTTTATCCAAATTCAGTTTTTTATTCAACAAAATTTTTATTTGAGCTAATTGGATAAAAAAAAAATGGAAAGTTGAATAAAAATCTAATGAGATTTGTTGAATAAAAAATATTAGTCGGTTAAAAAGCCATTTTGAATAAGAAATCCGAATAATAAAGAAATAATAATAAAAAAAGTCGAAATTGAATATAAAAACGGATTAGAATAAAAAACCATAATTTATTAAAAATTCTAAATAAATGTAAATGACAAAAATTATTAAAATTTATTAAATTATTATTTTTTTTATAATTTGTATGTGTCAATTATATTTTTATTGTTTTAATTATTTTGTTTTTATTTATTTTAAATATACATTAATTTTTCAGTCAGTTATTGTAATAATTTATATGGCTCAATTTTATTCATAGTTTTTAAGATTAATTTTTCAGTTTTTTAGATTAATAAGAATTTATTATTGAAATTAATTCAAGACAAACTGTAATTTTTCAACAATCAAACAACCCGTGAGAGTATAATGACCAAAGCGAAATTATAAACGAATTCACATTTTATTATATTATATTCAAATAATACCACAGCAGTTATCACGACTCTAGAATCATATATACTAGGCGGATGTCATATTGTGCAATAGCACTAGATATGACGGGTATTCAATATAAAAGAGTATAATGATTTATTATAACGAAATTGACAGTTCACGAACTAACTGTCAGTACATTATAATAATACCCAGAATAGATTAGGAATTTCGCAAGTGCACGGTTAGGTCGATAGCCACACAGACCACATCCGTTAGAACCGAGATACAGCATCACTAGGCAAGGAGTGACTAGGTTAGGGACCGGACTATAAGAGGGACCCCGAAACGGCCTGTATTCAGACGTGTCCACTCATCGCTACTACAAGCACCTTCACGCAACTCTGTGTAACGATTGTCATTTGGACTCAGCACCAGTAGTGGACTGGCCCGGTGTGCCACTATTCTAAAGCACAGTGGGCCGGTACCAGATTGTAAGTGTTGGGCCGCTACTATGGCTAGCAAATATATCTATAATTTTTTTTATTATTTTATAATAATATATTTTACGATTGGGCGGCTCTTGCCCATCACAAACAACACAATATAGACAAGAGTAAACTACCATATAAAAGATACCAAAAACATAATAATATTTAGATATAAATTATAATTTTATAATATGGACAGTTAAAAATATTTTTTTTCTGAAACGTAAAACGTTATTGTCCTGTCAGGGATTTTATGCCGTGTGGCGTGTATAGCAAAGCATTTATAAAGTAGGTATAAATAAATACAGATCGAATTAAAAGACTATGGCCAATTTGACTATTTTATTCCAGTCAAATTAGACGAATAATTAGGCTTTAGCTCGGAAAAATTAGCACCAAGCCAAATTTCAGTTTATATATTATATTTATTTTGTAAGGTGATTGAAATTCGTATACCGCATGGTAGAACTGCCAGAAAATAACAAAATTATAGTGAATACAATATTATGAGTAATGAGTAGGTACTGTTCGTTAGCCAACGTGGTTGTTTTTAATTTTAGTAGAACTGCTTCTATTTTCTTCAACAGTATCTTGTTCGATTTGAAAGTGAATTTAGTTAGTGCATTCAACAAGTCAAAAATTAAAATTCCCAATAGTTTTCAGAAGCGCAAGAAAAACAAAAGTAAAATTAAGAAAAAACGGGAATTTTTACACTAAAAAGGTTTTTGATAAATCGACTTTAGTTTTTGGTATAATTCTAAAACAAATTACCGTAAATAGGTACATCAAATTTTTACAGAATGTTTATATCAGAATTTTCTATACACCATAACATTTTCAAGTTTTATTTTGTGCTGTTTACGGACATTTTCAGTTTCGATTTTTTTTAGTATTTTTTTTTCTATAAATATCAATAAAATTTTATTTGTTTTGTAAAAACTATTGAAAATTTAATAAAAGGCTCCTGATATATTTTTTCAAAGGAAGATGAAAAATATTAAAAAATCGTCGACACAATTTTTTTTTTTAAGCATTTAAAGTTCAAATATTGAAAAAATACGTAAAAATGACGAAAATTCACAAATTATTTTAGTAAATTTTATAAAAATTTTTATTTTTTAAACTCATATTTGAAAATGTTATACAAGATTCAACATAATTTTGTCTACTTTTGTCAAAAAAAATGTCTACAAGAAAGTCAAATAAAATTTGTATGAGCGATTGAAGTTCAAATATTTTCAACATTGGATATTAACTCGAGTTCTCATGTACCTATCGATTTCTTTATTTTGTTGTAATTGAAAAATGAATAACTGTAAATTCATGAAAACTTCACTGAATATTTGTATTCTTCTTTTCTATACACCTTAACAATTTTAATAATATTTTGACTCATTTTGAGCTGTTTACGGACAATTTAAAATTTCAATTTGCTTAGTTTTTTTTTATAAATATCAATCAAATTTTATTTTGGTGGGCTAATCAGTGTGAACATTTAATACAAGGCTCCTGATATATTGTTACAATAGCTGTTTGAAAATATTAAAAATACTCACATAGGCACAATTTTTTTTTATAATCATTTCAAGTTCGAATTTATCAAAATTTATCAAAATCTCGATAATTATTAATCATTGCATAATTAAAAAATTAGAAAATGTACAGTTTTTAATTTTTCATAACTATGGATTGAAAATGAAGATTATCATAAATAGTTCATACTGTAACCAAAAAATCTATAAAATATAGTTGAAGAATATAGTTATAAGAAACAATTATTTTTTACTGACACTTTAAATTCAAATTTGGACTAAATGACATATTAAAACCAAGAATTGAAATTTAAAAATATTATTTGTTGGTATATGAAACTTTTAGAGTATATTGTTATATTTTATATACACGCAATGATATTTTCAAATGTAATTTTTTCTGGAACAATGAATTTAATACCTACTATAGTAAATACTATAATTCCTAATAATGAAATTAATTAGGTTAGGTACCTAAGTACTTTATTCACAATAGTATCATCAAATACTTTATATTAACCGTTTTCTCCGTATACAATGATATTATATCATTAAATTCAAATTTAATACCATACATTACAGTGACCTACTTGTAACCTACTGTACAGCAGAGTGACATCCACTTGCTCCCCTTTTTAATATTGGTGGTATAAATATTATACTGTACTTACAACAATCCATATAAATTATTTAAAATAATTATTTAAATGATTAGAACAAATTAAGTTACCTACCTAATTAATTTGTCAGGTGTTTCTGTTATACGTCGTGTATAAGTTCATATATCATCAGCACAATTAGAGTAAAAAAAATTGGCCTAATACACCTAAGGCCGCTAATAAACTTGGAACAGTGGGCCGGACCCGTCCCAGTCCGCCCCTGCTCAGCACCTTTGTGATTTTTGGAACGCTAATAAACAACAGTATAATTTGGCAATTGTGTTATAATTGTTCAACCGATACCTCATCATCACAGTAAACGGTCTAGCTACCTGCAAACGTTAAGAGGACGCCACACCGAAAGTGAAACGTATACAACGACCGAGAGAACGCGCTGTTAGGTGTTTTCGCAATGCGCAAGCACGCGACGTTTAAGCCTCGCCCACTACTCGTCGTCGACGGCCGGCCGACGATTTTGCTCATTCGGGAGCGACGTTTATTATTTTCTCAACTTTCGTTTGTGGCGGGTCGCGTAAATATAAAATGCATACACGTTACACGTACATTATGCCGCATTGTCACCGTAATATTTTTAATATTCGCGCGTACTTACACGTCCTGTATTTATTGCATTTTTAGATACTTACTTCATAAAAAATATATTCAATACAGTAAATATTATCTAATTTATAACTGTAACCTTAACTAATATTACCTACCTAAATATCTAAATATTAGTTTTTAGTAGGTCAATTAATTTTTGCGTATTTCTAAACATACATTTTTCACACATCATCTATTATTTATAAGCTCCTACCTCTCTACCTATTTTATAATATATAATATAGGTACTTTATTACTCACTTAAAATATATATGAAATGTTATTAGCTATCTTTCAAATTATTTTTTTTATTTATTTTCATTAAGTACCGAAACATTATATAACATTGGCAATTGGCAGACAAAATTAAAAATATCATTACAAATTACAATGACATTCATATTTTATTTATTTATTTAGTCTTTTTGCTGATTTTTTTTTATTATTTAGTTCTTGAGCCTCTATAATTCTTGCTGGTTCTCGAATATCAGACACTAATAGGCGTTTACCATATAAAGGCTCTACTATTTCCGGCAATAAACAATCCATATAGGATCTGAAAACAATTCAATACCATTTTTTTTTTATCGGCACAACAAAATATTATATTAGTATGCATAATAATAAGAACTTTTTTATAATTTAAAAAAAGTAAACTGTAATACATTTTACTTACGCAGTAAGTTTTCCAACCATTTTTGTTTCCCAAAACTCGGCATCGTAAAAATTTTTTTCTATATGTATCCATTTAGTTGCATATATAACAAAATAACAAAGATGCCTTCCTGTAATGTGTAACTGCCCCATCACCTGGTAGTAATAATTATGATCTCTTTTTAATTGCACCATCTGTTGACCATTATTTGTAGGTAACAGTGTACAATATTGTAACTGTAATTTAAAAAAAGGGGGTAAGTGAATGTCGCTCTGTTGTACAGTAGGTTACTATATATAGTGGGTCCCTGCTATAATGGATGGTGTATTGGTGTTAAACTTGAATTCAATGACATATCATTGACCATTGTACACGAAAAACAATTCTGAAATCGAAGGTCTAGGATATTTTGTACATTTTCAACTACAAAGCAATTTGCAAACATTCGATATTTTGATAAATTTGGTCTAAATTTTAACTTTACTTTAAATTTACTTTTGAAAACAATCAAAATTAACATCAAAATAAGAAATTCGTCCATTTATGTTGGTCATATATATATTATATTTCCTATAATTTAAAAAAAAAATAAGTAAAAAATGTATTTACCAATTTATTATTTACTGCTTCGGTTGCATCGTTTGTATCCTTTGCAATATATGGACACTTTATTTCAAGAATAGCGTCATCGCCGACAACACCATCTGAACATTTAAAATATAATAATATAATAGTAAACATAATAATTATAACAAAATAATGCTGTAGGTATAATAATTTAAAATAATAAAAATATATTAACCAATGTATTATACACAAAAATAATTTTACCTGGACTAGCAGCCAAAAATGTAATTTCGCTGTCTACAATTAGACGACAAGTCTCAACACTTAATCCACTTACAACCTCAAACTTTTTTCGACCATACGGTTCCATTTCAATACCATGCGCCATTTCTTTCGACTTTATTTATGGATTGTATATAATTGCATGCACTTGTCGTCTGCAGCTAGTAGTTGACCTCATTTTACAAATTTCACCGAATTTGGAAGCCGTCCGACGTTTTTTCCGCTCTTGAAACCATTTTAAATTTCCATTTTGATCTCGTGTATCCAAATTTAGCTGATGTAAGTTAACAGTCTTTAATTTATTTAAAAAACAATTTTTTTTAGTTTCTAGTTCCTCCACTGATATAGTGTCCATCAAGGGCTCAGCTAAGCCGTAATCTTTATCTGCATGAGCCGATGAGCTTTTCTTTTTACTTTTTTTCATGTTATTTACAAATAAACATCTCCTATTTATTGTATTTTGTCGAATTCTATTTAAATTGTTTAGATACTTTTTTCCTATTTCTCCTGTAATAAAAACGTAAAATAAATTATGTACATTTAATCAAGTAAGTAGTATGATTTGGGGGGTTCAGACCGCTGACACTTCACACACTTCACACACTCACACACACACACACACACACACACACACACACACACACACACACACACACACACGATTATCGGTCACGTGCGCGACGTATATTTTGGCCTTATCAGTAACCACTACTTACCACTGATAACGATTGTTGGGCAGGTGCCGCGACGTATACCTAATACTGATAACGATTGTTGGGCAGGTGCCGCGACGTATACCTAATACTGATAACGATTATCAACAACCGTGAAATGCAGCGATATCTATACGTGACGACTGACGACGTCGACAACAGTGTAGATTATTACGATTTTGTCGAAATTCTCTAAATAAACGTAAATCGTTAAATATCAGAAATATATACTGTATACCACTATTGTTACTACGGTGTAGGTTTTTTTTAAAAATGTCGAAATTCACTAAATAAACGTATATTATTGAATATGAGAAATATCTACAACATGTTTTGCCGTAGTTTTAAAATTGTTTATAATGTACCATAATGATAGCATGCGTTGTTAACGTTGAGTGTGAAATTAAAATATATGACGCATATCTTTATTTTAGTATGTTGTAGATTTATTAAAATAGCCGAAAATCACGAAATAAACGTATATTGTTAAATATCAAAAATATATACTGTATACCACTATTTGATGTATGGTGTAGGTTTTTTTGAAACGTTCAAATTCACTAAATAAACGTATATTATTGAATATGAGAAATATCTACTGCACGTGAATGTGAAACGGACACTTATAGGCTCCGCAAGAGTCGGCATTCAGTCAGTCTGTCTTCAAGTGTACACATGTACGATTCTCCTCCGCGTTTATCCAAGTCTTTATAATAGTGGTTCAGTGTTTAAAATTTTTCCAAGTCTTTATTATTTTTATAATAAACAATTTTTAAAAACATGGCTGGTTCAATCGAAGACAACGCTGCATTATACAAGAAAAAGACCTTTACGTATGTACCACCATCACCACCGGCTGAACTCATCGAAACCACAAGCTACACGATCAACTTTGCAGCTCGCAAATTTATACTTGTCGGTATCGATCCTACTGATAATTTTCAAGTCACCGTTCATTTATTAACACCATCGCGCCATGTTAAAATATCGCCGGATTTCCTGAGACGTATATTCTCTATGATGGGACATATCTTATCATTTATATTAGATACGGTCCAGAAGTACAAGCGCATCATATTTCTTGAGACTGAATTTCATAAAATATCCAGTATGGTGTATTGTGGAGAAAACGTGCTAGTAATAGAGTCAAAAACTCAGGACGGGTGCAGAGTACTGTTAAATCGGGAGGACTTTATGCAGCTTCAATATCTTGAATGTAGTATTTTCGAAAGTATTGTACGGAAAGAAGTAACCACTGTTCCAGTAATTAAAAGACAGTTTGACGATTTTGCGATGTATCTACATGAGAAATCTGCTTGCCTTAAATCACCACCGAAAAATTTAGAAGATATGTTAATATTCGTTAAAAAAATACAAGACGATAGAACGGAGAAAATTTACCCAAACATGATCGGTCAAATACAAATGTATGCAACCGTACAACTAGCTGAAACTGTGTTACAACAGTTGACACATGAGGTAATTCATAAATACAGTAGTACATGTAAAAAAAATATTTAATACAACTTTTTTATTTTAGTTACAGAATTTTGAAATGGATACACCAACGTCGTCAAGCTATTCGCCGGTCAGCAATATATTAAGCATGCACGACGATTCATCTGCACGTGATGGATTTAATCAGCCTAAGGATGATATTTTAGCTAAGGTAATTTATATAAACATAGTTTTAAAAATAAAAACACAATATTTATTTTATATTTATTTTTTCCAGGCACTAGATCATATTGACGGATCTGACGAGGTTCGCAACCCGCAGGCGTGCGACGTAAACGATGGGCCTGATTTTTTCTACCAATTCAGGACGATATCACCACCACAACCTTACCCAACTTACACCGATCATCCAGTGCCATCACACAAACGATCTCATTCAACCTTCGCCTACCATCCGACGCCAGTACGTGATGTTAAGCGACGTCTATTTTAATATTTGTATGAAAATAACTAATTTATGTGAAAATAAAACAAGCATGGTACTTAAAAAAAGTTTTTTTTATTTATTAAAATAATAGTAAGGTTTACAATAAGTATTTACAAGGTTCTTACTTCTCCATTAAATGGATTATAAGTTATAATTTGGTCATGTAATATTAAGCAATATGCGGATGTTGAAGCTGGGAACGCTTCGTCTGCTTCTAGTTCAATCCTGAGGTCGACGGTTGATGTTTTCACGTTATCGTTCTGTCTGCTCATATCAACAACTATAATTGGAGACATATTTTTGAAATCCACTCGATTCAATAGCGGTTTCACATCGTCATGGCCGTAGTAAGATTTTTGGAACTCGGCATACGCGCGATATAATGTCGCCATCTTGTTCTTGGTAAAGTCACTTTGAAAATCTTCATAGGGAAATACTTCAGCGTTTAAATAGACCTTTAGGTTTTTAATTTTACAATGGTCGAAATATGACATTGCTTTAGTTGGACTATTTTTCCTATTGGTTTGAAATCCGATTATTACATAGCGAGGTTTTTCTAATTTGTTGGATGTCTTCACTTTCCACGAATGCGAAGTGTTTTGAGGTAAAAATGGATACTCACACAGTTCCCACGATCTAAACGCACATGTCAGGAGTTTCTGATTGTTGATTACTTTCAACAGTCTAATTTTTTCTCTATCACTAACTCTCACTATAGGCATCCGCCACAATATTTTTGTTATGTTTATTTTAACGTCTTTTAGTTTAGGAGCGTCTGCGACAACTTCATTATTTTTAAACTGCTTGATGGCATTCATATCAATCGATGCTCTATTCAATACAAGTTGCTGATTACAGTTTATTAAAATTCGCTTATAATCTTCACAAAAACCAAACAAATCTTTAAGATTAATACATCCGTTAAAATGGTCGTTATCGATAAAATCTTTATTAGCAGATTTAATTTCGCTATCCCAAGCAGCATTATGATGCGATGAAATATTTGTTTTATTATACGAGCAATATCCTTTTAATGTGGTCGATATACCCGGATTGACGAGTTTCTGAATTTGAGTACCGTTTATTTCGTATTTCATTTCAGAGAAAAGAAATGCCAGTCCGTTGTTTATGAATCTAATCTCGTCTGTTATTTCCACAGGTTTGATTATTGTCCCCTCGATGTAAATATAACTCTCACATGGTAAAGTATAAGACTCTGTGTTATGCAGAGCAATACGCACCTCGTCGTTATTAGAAAGAGCAGATGTTGAATACGGTAAAAAAGAATGATAGTCAATTTGAGTTATTTTACAATCGTCGGTGTATCCAGCCGTTACATCTAAATACAAATCGTCCATATTAAATAGCGTTTAGCGAGCGTAGAAAAGCCAAATTATCTGCTGTTAGACTATGATCAACTTGTTTACGTCTCGAATATTTCTTCTTCTTCGGAGATGTTACCTTGCTAGTGGTTTTAATACGAGTGACAGGTTTTACATACGCAGTCCTATTTATAATACAAAATTTCAGACCCATTGTTTATCACAAGTCTTGAATTAATAATCGTATCGATACTGGCTCGCCTCGTAGATCGATCAACTCATTGTCTTGATTTTTTAAAATTATACTCGCGTGCGTTATAGATGTAGAATTAATTGGGTAAAATACCAAATGTGTTGGAACCTCTATGATTTTATAACCTGGAGGTACATTCGGGTAAAACTCGTGTATTGTATGGCACTGCTTACCGTTAACGAATGAACCCATAACCAGATTTGAGTCGATATATATACAGTTTGTTTTTGTAATATTGACCAACGCATCTGATTCGTGATTGACATTAGCATCATACTTACGATTTTTAAACCCTAACAATTTTCCTATACCATTAGACATGGAAAAATCAACAGTTTCGCTACAAAACATTGTGCATTTTAATGTATTATTATCTGCTCTCAACACGAATAAAGTATCTGAATTAGGTAATACACGTATTATTGCCGCTTCGATTTCCTTCAACTCATAAGATCCAGTGGGTATTGTATAGCTTTCGCTTGTACGCTTACCTGAGATATTATTTGTGATTCCTATTCTATTGCATTTCTCGTTTACATTAGGTATAGAATTATTTGTTTGAAAACCCAGCAGACAGATTTTCGCGTTTTTACTGACTTCTATAGGTGGAAAAAAGTCGCATGACAATTCACTCGAGTTGCCGGTTAACGTTATAGTATACATGATAAAAATTGTAAGCACAAGTGACCACAGTTTGTTGTATTATATTTTTGATGTCTATCGTAGTTATATTCGATACTGCACCCGTTGAAATATTTCTGTAATTCTAGCGGAGGAGGTAAGTTTCCGTAGCTGTCAAAATATTTAACTTGTTTTCCGATTTTCTTATACGCTACCCAATGAGTACCTGTGCCGATTTCAGTGTCTAAATTAACTACAGCCGACTCTTGATTTTTTAAACGTTGCGACAACTTGTCTCTAGAAAATACACCAATGAAATGAGGTATTTTCAACATGGCAGCGTATTTTATAACCTCATAATCGAACAACGCTCTATCGGGTAACGTAACAATTAGTTTTTTGACCTAGACTTCTTGACTTCTTGACCCTTGTGTGGTTTTCTAGACTTCTTAACTGATCCACCTTTGTATGGTGTTAGGTATAAACCTTCTCCTTTTACGACTTTATAAGAACTACCCTTGTGAGGTGCTAGATATAAGCCTTTGCCTAAATGAATAGGAGTGTTTTTAC